ACAAATTTACGGCCATGATAAAATATCTTTAAGTACTTTGTTACAGCGTTTAGGGCGTTCTTACGTCACTTTCTGTTATGTTTGTATCGAGGAACAGAAGTACGATAACTTGCTGCTAGAATTTTGTACGCTTTTCTCAGTACACAAATACTACATATTCGCATATCCACAATCAAATGCAAAGTCAAATATGTTTATTGGGTGAGTCGCTGTTCTGCCCTTTTCGTTTTCAAAATCAATTATACCTCTGTGGATTTTAATTCATCGACTAATCATTTAGAAATCAAGAAGTCTTCCGCCAGGCTGCTGCCTTCATTTCCTTTTAATTAACTGAAGTATAAATTTCTTGTTCTTTTCAAGCAAAATATGGTCTTCACTAATTGGTTTTAATTTCATGATTCCATAATATCAGCCTTTTCTATTGAATCACTAGCTCTTTGAGGGCAAAAACATACATCTGGATTTCAGCAGAATCGAGAAATATTCTCCTAGATTTTGAGAGGAATGTCATCTGTTGACATAGCAGATCCGATCAACTCTGGCATTAAACGATTTACTTTGTTCTATTTAGCGCGAGATTCCTTTCGTGCTGCATATGTTTCAGCGAAAGCACCAACACTGCAGATTGAATTTCGCTAAAATTGCTCATCTTTTCCTATTCGGCTTCAACTACTGGCATTAATCTGTTTTCAAAAGAAATGCCACAAAACTTTGATTTATTTTAAGCGGGCTTCCAGATATTGGACTTGCTGAATGAATAATATATTTTTTACCAACAGCTCTCTTCTATTTCTTGGTTTTATTATTGGAGTAATCACAACTAATCATTTTTGCTTCAATTTTTTCTACCTTTTCCTGCCTTTCCTAAATTTTGCTCTATTTTCTTGCATTCTATGTTCATTTAAACTTTCTTGCGTCTGTCGCAATCTTAAACTTTTTCATGACTCTACGAAGAGACTAAAAAAGCTCAGAAGCGGAATGATTCTCAGTCTAAGATTATTTCATTGCCACTTGGATCTCTTCGATAAAAGATCTAGTTGTAAATCGATAGCAATAGACTGAGAACCCTTTTTTGAAAATAAATTTGTCTTTGCTATCATTTGTTACCCTCACCTTTCTTTGACTCTATGGTAAAAAAACTTTTAATCGAAACCTTCCGTTCAATAACGTTGATATAATGAAATAAACATATTATTGCTCTTCGTCTTGTTAACTTACTCTTTATATATTGGAAACAAAGTTTGAATTTTTAAATCATTAATTGGAATAAGAATATTAAACGTTTTTCTGTGGCTTCTGGCGTTGCAAAAAAGCAAGCAGAAAATTTGTAAGTTCTTTAAAACAATATGATGTGTTCTTTGTGAAAGTAATTTCGATTAAATACCTAGACCTATCTACTAAGAAGCATGACTTTGGTGCGTGACAAGTTTAAGATTGCAAACCATCTAGTAGAAGTTAACCTAATCTGAGACATATTCTCGTTTTATCTTGTATATTCTCTGCAATAGAGCTCCATTCTATAGTGAATGACAATCGTCAGGTTGATTCATCGTCACTGTAAAAGCGACAGAGTCGAACTTCTATCTCAACATATCACTCAATGAATGTGTAACCTCATAAGTCAACAATTGCTTAGAAGATACGACCTGTTTTTCTAAATGACTGTTTACAATTTTCACTTGCAGCTAAATTACTCGGGCACCTAAAAGTTTTTGAAATAGTTAAGGCCTTAAGTCAATTTGTCTATTCAAAAACTTCAGTTGGACCTTAAAAAATGCACACAGTGCCCTTTACAAGCTGTCCGTAAAGACCACATATAAAAAAGAGGTTCATCATTTCTTTAATCAATAACAGCGATCAGACAATTACTAAATCTACAATTTAACCTTCCTTTTCGCAACATTAATTGCTTTTTTGTCACAACAACTCTGGTTTTCTTTCAAGACGCTAAAGATTTAAATCCAAAAATATATTAGGAGGATTACGCTTTTATCCCGGAAAGTTTTTGACCAAAAATTCTAATTAAAAACCCTTTGATGTCTCCTCCAGTGCCGACAACATCAGTCACATGCCAGAAAAACATCCAATCATCTACCGCCATTCTCTACTCACAGGCGGAATCACATTCGCTTTCTTATTAGACTTTTATTGCTGTCTACGCATCATCTCCTAAAGGAAAGCCAGCGTTTACTTTTGTAATACTGCTAAAGAATACACACACATGATTACGAAGAATTAAAATCTGAGGATTAGGATCATCGTAGTTGTTTTGAAGTTCTTAGCTTAGAAGGATGCATTGTACGAATACTCATACTGTAGTCATTTCGTTGATGAGGGGTACGAGAATGGGAACATGCCGCTTACAGCTTAAGGGATAATAGCATTGTTTTGCTCATTAAAGGTGGATCAGTCACATTATTACTTGTGACCTAGACTCAACAAAAGCAAACCGAAGGCTAGATTGTCTCCAAGGCCAGTTCGAACTGAAAGCAATAGCTTATATACATTGCCAGCTGAGCAGTTAGTTCTTGAAGCCTTCTACGTAAGCGCATCAGCACAAGTTGATGTACGATTTAGCTTGTTAAATGGATTCAAAGTAGTGATGAAAACCTGTTAAGAAGAACATTGGTAGTGTTTTACGCCAAGAATGAAAAAGCTCGTTAGATGTTTCTTAAAAATGCTTAAAACTAGAGTATAAAGGAACGGGAAAGCAAGAAATACTTTAAATGACAACAGGGTCTTTCGAATGAGCTTTTGCTATGATTTATTCTTTGTTCCCTTTTCCTTCACAAGAACGATATTCGTTGGATATTTTAATCGTTACGATATCAATTATTGACAGTCAGTGAAATGTCCTGAGGTATTCTTCTTGCTGAGTGGTCGAAGAAAATCAACCTTTGAATTAAAGTTAATATTTTATCAGAAACATTCTAAAATAACATTTTTTGGCTTTATCTCGTTATATCTTAGACAAATAACCAAAAAGAGTTGGAGATTCATGAATAAAATTTTTGCTCTTGGAAAAGTAATCTTACGCTTAGAACACAATTAACATTCCATTTTTGGCGGTACAAAGTTTAAAAATGGCTTTGAAAAAATGTTTACTTTTTTTAAAGCCATTTTTAAATTAGCATTGCTTGAGTACTAACCGTCCTTTGTATTAAGATTTTCAGTTGTTTGACTTGCAAAAAATGTCCTGGAGGTCTTTCATCCCTAATTATAAAGAGGAGCTTAGAGTCCATTTCCAGTTACTTGAAGCACTTAGGGGGCAGCTTAAGCCATAAGAATTTGGAGCAATTATGCATTTCCATCAACTTCTTACAAGTCTTCTATTGAATCCTAAAGAAATATAAATTTTCGGCAGAGTTTTGTCGGCTGTCATTTAGAACTTCTTATGTGCTTAGGGTTGTGGATAAAGAGATGAGTATTTCATTTCTGTCCCAGATTATGATGTCCTGGTTTAATTATTTCTCTTCATAATTCCCTGAAAACTGTCATTTATTATTACTTCTTTTGCTTTTGAATTTGACAGTACAAAAGAAAGAACAAACATATCTGCCTTTGGTTAAGTCTTTATGATTGCTGGATTACAATGTTTGTTTCCCTTTTCAATTAATTTCGATTAAAATCAGTCATTCTTAAGATTACTTAACGCTATCTTTGAATTCTCCGCTTCAAGCCTGATCTGTGACTTAGCCTAGAAATTTTAGCCTTTTTGTTCTTTTCTACTGAAGATAATAATTCGATATGTATCACCAAAACAAGACTTTCTTGTTTCCTTTAACACTCACAACATTCCTTTTGAAGATTGTTACAAACTTTTCTTCTACTTTTCTATAAACCATCCACTCACGATTTGTGTCGGAAAGCAACTAAAACAACCCCTTTAATTTTATGAAATATTGATTTTGAAACCGTGTACCAATACTATTACTATTATGCTCAATGTTTCTCGAGTCAAACTTTACTGTTAGCAAATTTTATGGTACAAGAGCTTCATGTAACTGGAAATAAAACCGGGTAACTGGAATGAAATCCAAACTAGCTTTGCATTTCTGGTAGTGATGAGATTAAGATATTTACCAACAAACTTATTTTTGTGTGGTCTTGCGTTGATTCAAGCACATTGATTCAGTTATTCATTGAACGGGAGCCCGCAACTGGTGCCGGCGGTGGCCCAAGGTAGCGGTGGCAAATGTTTTTGGTAGCTCAATCCTGATAAATTCTCACGCTTATAACTGCCTGCATTGAATCAGAATGGTACCTTAAACCTCTCCGGTTACATTTGTGGTTTAGGTGCCATAGTTACATTGGTTTTGGTGAAAATACTGCATTCACATTTAAAGGCATAGTCCATACGGTCATATTTAGATTCAAAGCTGCTTTTGTCATTCATTTTGCGTCCTAACTTGCAAGGTCAATAACAGTTCAAAATATCACGAAACGCAGTTATGTTGAATTTAAAAGGCAGTTTAAGGCTTGGTCCATCTGGTAATTTCAAAGAACGAAAACCCTTAAACTTATGAAACTCAGAACCTATCAACGTGAAAGCTTTCTGGGTATACAAACTTCCAAGTTTTGTCAATATTCAAATTTGTACTGCAGCCATTCCCTGTCAGACATAAGATGTTGGTCATGTTGCATATAGTTGTCAAATCATAGTAACTAGTACCTCTGTCTTAAATTACGTCAAGAATCCTCTTTGACAAATACGATACTCCAAAATGGAAACGATTGTTTAAATATAGCTATCTCAACCTAATTTGCAAGAGTATCTTTACAAACTTTCCCAAGGCACATTAGCTTCATTCCAAAATTTGCCATGATGATTCTGTAACGATGAGAGAAGATCTTTATAAGCTTTATAACACTTCTGCAGTAAAAAGATATTAATTCTTTATTTCATATAAAAATCTTTCATGATCTTATAGTTTTATATCTTATTATATTGTAAATAAAATCTTTGCAATATTTTTAATATATTTTTATTTTCTTGCTAGGTATGGTTTCAGAATAGACGGGCCAAATGGAAGAAGAGAAAGAAGACGATGAGCCTATTCCACCATGGTGCCGGCCTCTTTTCACCTCATATGAATCAAAACTTCTCATCGCCCTATAGAGATCCCCTCTGTTCATACCACAATGAACACCTCTGGCCATCGCCCACGGGTAGCTTTGGTTCTGTACCAAGCACACTTGCAAGCGTGCCGTTGCCCAATCATTATGGATATAACCAATCATATCAAGTAGATAGAAGCTCGATGCAGCAAATGAGTTATCCTCAAGAAGTCAATCGAGAAATCAGTTGTGGCTCGTCAAACACTAACAGCTCACAGTACCCATGTAATGGACAAAACGGACTTGATCATTGGCATGGATCTAGCATAGCTGAATTGCGTCGTAAGGCTGTTGAACATAAAACAGGCTATTCCTATAGATAAACAATTGATATTTTGTTGGATGCAGCGTTTGTGTTGCGTTTTAACAAGCATGTCAAAAGCAACTTGACATTCTGCTAAAGGAACATTGGAGTTTGCGTTCCCTTTTCGAAAAAAGGAAAATTTGGCTAACGAAACAGCCCTTTGATATACACCCGCTATACTCGAATGGAATATTAACATTAAATGAACAGCTTAGCTATATTTCACTTGTAAGTTAAGTAGATAACATGTCCGCAAATCACCTGTCCGAATCGTTTAATACACGACGAATTCTAAATGTAGGGTAAGAATATCATCCAGCCTCGCTTCGATTTCGATTGGTGTTTTAGATCCGAGCAATTATTGAAAGAAATTCTAAAAAGTTTACCCAGGGATTCAAGAGGATCTTTTTGGGATTTTGGGCTGGCCGACTTGAATTCATCTTCAGAGTGCACGAGATTAATGGCTTTTAATTCGCCTCTAGGTCCTGAGGATGACTTACAATATATATGCAAACACTGCATTGTTTCTCGCTTTCTTGTCAATATTAGATAACTAATTCTGAAATTCTATATGTGAAATTCGGCTCTTCTAGCCTCGCACAAAATGATCTACAAAGATACGAAGTTTATAAACGGGGCATAGACCAAAATCATCCCTTTTTTGAAGCATCGATCTTAATCGATCAATTTTGTCTCTATTCTAGCCTATCGAAGCCCATTACCCAGCAAAACATTTTTTCAGAAAAAAAACACTTTTATTGCGTGACGTACAAAGCCACTTAATTTTTTAACATTAATGTTTCATTGATATGACCTTGTCTAATAGAAAACTCAAAGAATATCAGGTCCTGCTTCTACTTAAGGATATCATGTCTCACACTATGTTTCTCACACTTGACTTCATTCGCTCTCCTTACCGTAAGGATCGACTATGAAACATTTTAAAACCCTTGACATCACCTCAAAATGTAGGCATTTTATCTTGGCGGGTTTTGCAAAACCAAGTGGATATGGGTTGGACAATCGAAAGCTTATCGTACAAGAAATTCTGAATCCAGAACGTTTAATCAAGAACCTGAGAGCCAATTGATAAAATATGTCAAGATTCGTAGTTAGCAAATAATTGTAACATGAAAAGCTAGTTGTTTTGTTTCTAAACTCTGTTACAGAGAATATGCATCGCCATATGTGTACATTTAGAATAAACCATAAAGAAAGATTTTGCAAAGAACAAATCAACGGAAAAAGTCCAATGAAGTTTATTTTAGGATAATTTAAGTAGGGAGGTAACCTGTATCAGGTGTCCAACGATAGTTACGTCATTTCATGCCTTTTTTCTCTAGGAAGTACCTTCATCTCAAATCCTTGCATTCGTTTCAAGAGATTAAGGGATTCGAAGTTTGTTCCTGGTTTCTCTAGCCTTTCAATCATTCTCGAAGTTTTTCCCAGTGAACACCCTAATTAATCGCTTATCAAAATTGCATGAATGCACAAAAGCGTTTTTAATTGCTCTCAACAGCAAAATTGTAAACTTTAAGACAAGAAGATCAACTGTTCGTTGTTGATTCTGGTTAATTCTGAGGAATTAGGATAAAACTCGCTTGGATTTGTTGGCTCTAAAAGCCCTTAGATACCTGATTACCCGTGCTTTTAAGGCCCAAAGGTTATATCATACTCTCAAAACACAACAGGCCCTGTAAATCCTGGCAATTTTCCAAGACAAAGACTCTTTCATTCTAAAAGACCTACAACAGAATCTACGACAGAGTCATATATTTTGGTTATTCAGGTGTGATTCCTAATGGTTATCCTGACAGTTCTTGCAAAGTCATTCGGCTTCACTTACTCTTTAAAAGGAACACTTGCTTTTGAAAGCAAAATTGCAAGCAAGAAATCCTATTTATCAAAATTAAGATTTTTGAAAGCTAATGCTGAACCCAAGATTGATAAAATTCGATCTTTGATATAATTTTGGTTTGGAGTAGTTAGATCAATTAAGTATTTAAAGAAATAGTAGCTTAGTAGTACGAACTTGTAAAAAATTCTTACATCGTAAAAATGTGTATCCTTTGGCCTAGCCATAACTGCCTTTAAATGTAGATAATTTTGTTTTTTCTTTTTTAATTAAATCTTTGATTTACACGAATTTTTTTCTTCAATCAATTCTGTCTTTGATAAAAAAAAATTACTTGCTCGGTGCAAAAAATTTTAAAGATTTATACGCTCCTCTCAAGTTAGGTTTATAAGAAATACATGCTTTGAAGCAGTAGAAACCACCTTCAAGAAACTTTCTCCAGTAAACCTTTTCTAGTTTCACTTCAGTTGGAGGTGACAAACATTGAACATTTCAAATATAAATCTTTTGAGGCATAATGTCTACATTTACAAAATCATACTTCACAGTGCCAGTTAAAGAGAATAGCACTTCTTTCCGAAAGTGACATGGCTTCACAGTAAGGAAAACAAAACCGATGTGAGGTTACTTCCTGGCAGAAAAGAGTAAACGGTGGTATTCTATGTTTGAAAAAGCGATCATATGTTTGTTTACGAATCTTTTAAACTTGATGTTTAGAATATCTTACGCAACCATTGCAGTTGAGTGGCTAAAATGTTTCTAAATTAAGTACAATTTTCAAGACTTTTTTCAAGTAAAGCTGCTAAAATAAACATCACTCCGGGAAAAAGAAACATCGAAAATTATTTCATATTTGACCGTTGAGATTAAAAACGGGAGAAAATTCTTATAGCATTTAATTAGCTAGACATATCCTTCTAGCTGCTCGATCAGTTAAGTGTTTCTCGCCTGCTTAGATATTCTTCGGCCATTCATGCTTTTTTATGTTAGATTTAGCGAAATGTACTAACACCATCGCCATTTCATTTGCGGTAATTAGCTGTGAAAAGTTATCAAAGAGTACTTTTAGTTTAGTAAAGGCAGATGCATAATTAGAGAAAAACAAAGTTGATACAAACCAAGATAATATGCATATAAAAATAACAACCAACTAGCCATTAAGGCTCAATACATGTGTTTATTTATGCTTTTAATGCCCTAAAGAAAGGAAGGAATCAGTTTCTTTTGTTATTTTGCTAAACCTACTTTACTAGAATTATATAACTATAAGCTAAAATAAAGATGTTGGTATCTTGTATGCAAAGAATATCTTTTTAAGAATATTTAAGAATAATCAGCAAATGTTGCAAGCTTGAATGTTGAATGCTTGTGCAACCTAAATCAGCTATAAGTAGTCTCGTGTCATGTTAGGCCCTTTCAGGATATTTCTAGCTCACGAATATAAGATCTCGGAACAAAGATCAAATGGATTATAAGATGTACCAGGTAAGGTAGATAGCCTGTTAGGGAGCTCACAGTGGCTAGCAGGTTTATTAAGCAGACTTATGAAGCAGACTTATGAAAGCAGGCTTATGAAAGCAGGCTTATGAAAGCAGGCTTATGAAAGCAGGCTTATGAAAGCAGGCTTATGAAAGCAGGCTTATGAAAGCAGGCTTGTATGCTTGTATGTCAGTAACTAGTAACAAGGAATGATCATTCTGAGCTTTTTAGAGTTTTGTAGCCTACAACTATAGCGCCGTGTAACTAAGAAGGAAGTGAATAAATGAGTGTTTGCTTGTTATTCGCATAGTGACGCTCATTTTGACATGCACTTGTGAAGAACGATGAAAATATCACAATTTGTCTGGCAGAAGGTAAAAGAAAGATCAAGCATAGCAATGTCCTAAGCGGATTTAGACATCACTTTCAAAGAACCAGCGATGAAAATGATTATTTTAACGGAGTACTTTTCTCAGTAGATGATCTGACACAGCCTGATTACACAAAGATTAGATTGGAAAATCAAAAACAGAGCATGACAGACATATTGTTCTTAGAAAATCTGACAGATATGAATCGAACTTCTAGTTTCGTTCCTTTGAACTGACAACCATGCCAGTCGAGCTTAATCAGATTATTCTAAGGTCGTTGTCATTCGGTGTACCGAATTGCAATGAATTCCTCTCGTCAACCACTAACTGGCAGCAATAAACCAAATATGTGGTTCTGGCCAATTGTTATTACAACCGTGATAGCACATAAACTAGAGCTTGAGTAAATTCTAACCCAGACCCGGGTTGCCATCCTTTATGTTTGCCATATCTCAGTCTCCAATACAGAGAGATATCGTGTATTTGAATTCGATGCTTTTCATCTACAATGAATTATACAAATTATACAAATATAACTATAATATACAAATATAATTTGGTGTGTAGAGCAGGATCGTTCTAAGAAGCAACTTTGAGTTTCACGCTTATTACGATCATCAGGAAACGCTTAATGCAGCTATATGCAGCCTTTACAGCAGATCGTTTTTTACACACAGTTTCTTTTGATAATACAGTTTAAAAGCTTATTGTACCATTGCTAATTTTGAACTGAAAACAAGTTTATATGAGGTAAATTGATAAAATATAGTAATGATAGACTTAACAATTAGATATATTTATAGTACACAGAAGACCTCATAGCTAAGCAAAGATAATATTATTGTTGCATAGAATCGTTCTCTTTTTAACTTTCTTGACTTTTTGTTAACAAAGGTGTATTTTATCGATTTCAACTTGTTCTTTTTATCTGTCTTTTACCTACAAAATGAAGAGTAAATTACATGAAATTCAAGGCAAGCACTTGGAACAAGAAAGCGCTTCCGTAAGATATTAACGCTTTCCGTAAGATAGACATTCCCTTACTGTGAAAAAGGGAGAGCGCCCACCAGTAAAAGGAAACTGCTTTCATATTTTATTCTAAATATAATCTAGCTATTGCTAGCTTTCCTAGTTATCGATTTTGGTATAGTGGCAACAGAAAAAAGCACATACCTTTCACATGCTTGAGAGAAGCCAGGGGCTTAAGACATACCTTCAGATTTATGAAAGCTTAATATGGATCCAGATTTGACCCTGTGGGAAAGATCATCAAGCAAACAATTTGAGTCTTAGAGCATATATTATTTTTACTTCTAGGGACGACAAATGTCTTTCCAGTTTGGGTGGGAAGAACTTGAACAAACTAAAGGACAAGATAGTGGCTATGAGCACACTTTTTAGATGAACCTGAGATCAAAGCTACCATAGGAAATTTTTAGGGGAAATTGGTAGCTCGACAAGTATACCTTGTTTGTCGACCCTGGATATTGATAAGGTGCCTAGGAAATATTGGTGTTGAAATCTGGCAATGTGAGAAAAATTCAGCATTTGCAAACTTTTAGCTTTATAATAAACGTTGCGTGAACGTTGCGTGAACGTTCACTCAAATTGACTCAAAACAAGAACGACAGCGTAAAATTATTCTGTCACAAAATTGCCAGGAAGAAAGAATATAGGGTCTGTTTTGAAAACATTAGATGAAGAGATCGCATGATTAGTGTAGAAGCCTTTGAATCGAGAAAATTCCTAGCAAAAGTGTTATAGATTTATCAATCATCTCTTCCAGAACCAGCAACTGGTTACTCAAAAAATATTCCAAGAGTTTAGACTTTGTATGTTTTTTTCTAATCTTCTTTCATCTCAAAAAATTAACTTATTTCATGTCTTTGATGGCATATATTTGCTTTCTAGCCAATTTTTTCATTTGGCAAGCGTTAATAAAACGTAATAACAGTCTGAAAACTAATCGCGCAAACTCGAAATATCAGTAAATACCGGTATTAATGATTTCGTGAAGTCATGATGATCATTAAAAAACATTTTATTTTGCAGATAATTTTCATTAAAGAAGCACGATTATGCTTTATCATTCACAAATAAACTCCAAAATAAATTATGCATCTACGTAGCTTATTGTCTTTGCTTCAATGTTTAAAAGTTCTATGTATGATACTGCCTAAGTTACTATGTGCTTATGCTATTGGGCATCCACTCTTGCAGCATGAATGGGTTGGTCAGATGGCCAGCCTGATATCGCTTTCTGTTTCTCTCGTGAATCTCATCTCTTGCATGCTTCATATCGTCATATGCGTGTCTGACCAAATGTCTCAGCCTTTCACAAGTGATTTCTTCACTGTAGTCAAAGAATTCATCATAATGCAGAGAGCCAAGGCCATGTGTTAGTGATCCTTGCAGCTAAAAAGATAAACTCACCTGAGTGAAAATATAATACAATTTCATCTTCCGATCTCATTATTCTAGAGAATTGCTTTGAAAAGCATATAGGGAACTGCTACGCAACTTTCTACATAATGCATCGGTAAGACTTTTTACATTTTAAGAAAAATGAAATTTATTAAGATTTCTTGAATGCAAGAAAGTTCGTATAACATTTCAAAAGTTTTTGAAACTGATTAAACTTCTTCCTATAGGTCCTTTGGATGTTTATTTATCCAACACAATGTCTCTGACTGCTGTTAAGAGTCTATAGAATGCTAAAACAGAATGCTGACTCAAATCAAGAAATTATAACAGTTTTTCAAAAATCTATCACTTTGTCACAAATGCTGGCTCAAATTGAAAGGAATCGTAAATGTAAATCAAATCTATGCAAGGAACACTGACAGAAATTGGCAAAAATGACATTAGCTACAATGTTGCACCTCTTAACTTGCAGGCTGAACAAAACTAAATGTAATGTTCTTCTTACAGATTTTGAATCACAAAATGACGCTCGCAGGCCATGGCAAATTGCGGAAAAAGTTAAAAGAAGGCATAAGGAAAAATTGTACTAAAGTTGAAATAAATCTTAGAGCCTTAAAATCAATAGAACTTTCAGGGATTGGTGTACCAGATTAGAATGTAAGGGTAAAGAAACTCCCCGCAAAGAAGACCCTTCTTTTTTATGAATCGGGTTCTTTTTAGGTCTTATTTCTATGGTGCATATAAAAAATTCGGTTCACAAATCATACTAACGTTTCCATCTAAAAGATATGACACTGAAAGACGTCGCGGAACTCGTACAGTAGGGGTGTTTGCTTGCGAAAACAGATGCTTCATGTAAATTACAGATGCTCCGTGTTATTTAGCAGGCCAAAATAGGCTCTTATAACAAGGTGCTTAAATATAGAAAGTCTTTGGGTTCCTAAATTCATAGGCTTTTTTCAAGGATTAATTATATGTAAATTAAAGATGAAATTATGCACTTTAAATATTGAATTCTTTAAGAAAAAATTAGGATCTACTCTCAAAAGCCCTTAAGCTAAGTAGACAGCACGATCTTTCTTCTTATCATTATTGCAAAGTTTGTTTTTTGGTTCATTCATTAGTCCATTTGTTCATTCATTCATCCATTTTTTCATTCATCCATCTAAGGTCAAATTATCACTTAAGGCTGCTTCCAACGAATATCTTGGTACAGCCAATAGTGTACGAATGTCATGATCAGGGTTTTAGGCTGATAAAGACTAGAATTAGAGGGATTGCTATTATTTTTCTTGGGTAAACTGCAATCTGGATCGAGCTCTCAAATTTTTAAGTACTGTTGTTTTGATAAATAATTTGTTTTCCCAAAATCTTAGCTGCAGCATATCATCTCTCACATTTGAACAGAATAGGAAATGGTCAAATACCTTTGCCAAAAAGCACAAACTTTATGATATTATCAGATAGGACAGCACTTGCTAGATCATACTTAGTTCGAGGTCACACTTTTTTGGCTTGCACGTCGGATATTACTTCGTGATTGAACAAAGCCATGCCCATAGGCCAAGCACAATTTTGCTTCCATCTCATCAGAAAAAAGGATTCCATTTCCAAAATTGGTAGTAAACATTTGCTTATATATGACAATGAAAGTGCGCCAAAGTATGTAATCACTTCCTTTTTCCTTTTCTAAAACCTTGCCATGCTTTGGAAAACATGCTACTCTAGATAACAAGCTATTCTTGGCCAGGGTCTATGTAGAATTTTTTCCCGGAAATTGCTCATCTTGAACTTTATCACACTTTCAAGTAGCTAAGGCATTTAACAGAAAACATAAAGAGCAATCGACATTATACAGAAAATTCAAATAAATTAAGGATTCAGGCCTCGAATCTTGACTTGGTGAGTAAATGTTCTATAGAGACATGAATTGGCCAAGTTGGAAAATAAACACTAACGGTAAAAACAAAGTTCTCAATAACATGTTGTTCTGATTTCTATCGTCATAGCGTTTAATTTAAAAATACTGCTGTCAACGGAATTTTCCCTCGTGAGTAGCATTGAAGCGCAAAAGAGCACTCCAAGAGAACTCTCTAAGGTGATACTCAAAAAAGAACTAGCTTTTTCAACTGGAAATACTCCAGCAACCAGAATTTTGATTTATTTGATAACACATTACACCTAATTTGATTCTTTTCAAAAATTTAATAATTTTCTATAATTCCGAAAAATTTTCTACAAACACATTGCTTCTTGATTCAAGTCATAAAGCCCTGCACCAAAATGCAGAGTTTTGTTTCTATATTCATTGCTTTCACCAATTGCAACAGCTTTGTTCCAAATAAAAAAGCTTTCCATAAAAACCCATGAATGTTGATGATATTCTAAAAATTCAATTACTGCTGTTGAACGTTGGCTAATAATACTTTTCCGTGAGAAAGCTGATCAAGATGGATTTCAAAATTTGTCCGTGGATCCCTACTTACACCATTCAATATTGATTAAAGTTTAAGTATAGGATTTGACCAGTGTACATTTATCTGTCCCGAATAAACGAGGCACTTCCCATGTTTGAACAGATTCTACAATACTTTGACAGCTTCAAGTAATTCGTGGGATGTTTAAATCCGTTTTGATCAACCGACTGGCATTCAGAGCCTCCGTTTCAATACAGAAAAATAAACTTTGTATTGAAACGTTAGTCTGCCAAGAAATTTTTCCCTGCTAAAATGTTTTCTTCGGGTGCGTTTGAATTGAAAAATTTTTGCGAACTCCCACTTTCGGCTGATTTTTTAGTGTACAGCCATTTAACGATAAAATTTAATAAAGAAAACGATCTGAGCATACGATTTACCATGTGAAAACTGAGAGATATACTTCAATCTTCCAGCGGTTTATTTTGCCTGGCTGCACATGAAACCCTTGCCGTCTAGCCGTCATGTTAGGGTAGAAATGCCGGTGGGAGCCCGAAATTCGTTTCTGCTCTTTCGGTTTTTAAGGCGTCGCTCAAGTACAGTACATGGATTTCGATTATTTACAGTTTTGTTATATCCTCTAAAAATTTCTTATGGAAGAAGTTGAGAGAAATTAGTCATCATGGTTAAAACGATGAACGTACCCTGAGGGCAATTCGAATATCTCTTGGTGCGATGAGTCTAATTATTCAGTTTTATCGTTTGTTACACTTGGTTTAGCATTTCACATCAAATTAGGAAGATAATGAAAATTGTTGATTAACGCTTTACCATATTGTGCTTGATGCCTTTAAGGAAGCGACGTGTACGCTTTGGAGGACTTTTGATGTACAGAACAGGACAGTTCTAAGTATCAACACAAATGTTTAATGCCTAAAGAGATAAACAAGGCAACAGTCGCAGAATTTTTCTGTTGCATAATGAGCAACGAACAGCCATCAAACTGCACCAGCTTTTCTGAGAAAGACTGTTTCTCCCTAGGCTGTATACTGGTCACGTTATTTAAAACACAAAGAAGAAGTCGTAATTAAAGAAAGAGAAAAATCGATTTAAAAGCTGAAAATTTCACTATAATGCCAGTAGATGCCAGACAACCGTAAAAGCAACAATTTCTGCTCATTGTGGTATTCATTGTCTTAGGATTGGTAATAATGCTAGCAGGAACCCCTGGGCTTAGTAAGCCAACTACGACACCCCAGGCTAGAAATACATTAGAGAATTTTGTTTAAGCAATAGACTTACGACTGAAGCTACTGAACCAGGCAGCATGTCAAAAAACTTTGCATCTTTGCCTTCGTAAAGCTTTGTCGGGTTATTTGTGGTTGAACCATATTCAGCAATTGGAAAACTAAACATGGCATGCTGTACGACAATCCACAGCGTCTCTTTCAAGAAGCTTGCCAACTGAGACTTTTTACTAAAAGAGGGCTCCAAGCCTTGAATCTAGTAGAGTAATAAAGATATATCATTTTGTGAGTAATTTCAGTGAATGTCTTTGGGAAACGTATTTATGCTGTAAGAATAGTCAAGCTTGCAGCAAAGTGCTATAGTAGATTCAGAAGGGGCGTAATGGGACCTAAGATTGAAGGTGGGATGAAATTTAGAATTCTTTGACACTATATTTCAATACCTAAATAACACATCATGGTAACATCCAAGTACATCTAAAATATATTGAGCGTTTGAATTTCTGGCTAGTTTCTATCAAGCACCCCTTTCTACTGCATCCTGTTATTGAAGATGTAGCCTCGGGTGCTTTTGTCTGACCTAGTGCGGTATAGCTAGATAAAAATTTCATCTATTTGCATCTAACAGAGTTACTAGAAGATCCAGACTAGATGTTGTTCCATTAGACAATTAATCAGTGACATTAGAGAGAAAAAAGTCAAATACGAACACAGATTTTCTGTTCAAAAGGTTACTTGGATTCAAACTTTTGCAAATACACTCTTTTTTTATAAGAACAATTTTATAAGAACACGAGCCTCAAAACTGGTCAAAAGTTAAGAACAAATTAAGAACAAGCTGAGGCTGAGCTTCTGCAAAATGCAATTTTGAACAACGTTTTTTCTCAAAATCGAGGATTTTTAGCGATGTGTGGGTGCTTTTTCGGTGGATATTCAAATTTCTCAGCAAATTAAGGTTGTCACACTCACTTTGTTGGCAAATGATGCCTGAACACCCCCTTAGAGCGAAAAAGCTAGCAATAGCACTGCTTACACCCTCTTAATTTAAGAACAAATTAAGAACAGTCCAGCCTCAGATTTTCTAAAAAATTAAGAACATTCAGGCTGAACTTAAATTTACTGGTTCTTATAAAAAAGAAGAGTTTCCTACTATATCGGAGTACATTTTGAAAAGGATAGAACAGGTAGATTTACATAATTATGAGATAGTCCAAGATTCACTAACGAGGGTCCACACTGAAAACGACTTCTAAGACATTTCAGTCATCAATACTCTACACTTCATATCAAATTTCCATAGACCTTTATTTCTAGTAAAACCAGAATATTGTAGGTGTCTAAAACGTAGTATTAATCAATCGTTTGAGCACATCTTTGTGTCTGTAGCGGCTGCGTTTTTCTTTACTTCCATCTTAATAGATAATTTTATCTGTATTTTTTTGGTTTAAAAGATGAAAGCGAAAAAGCTGTTTCCCTTTTGTTTGTTATTCTCTAGAATTTTGTACTTTGTCTGTCTGCATCTAAATCTGTTTGGTTATGATCTCTTACGAGGCACCACGTGGTCAGAAATGAGTTTGCTTTGTTATACAATTTGTAAATGTTTTGAAATTATTTGTAAAGGAATGCTATGGATAAGCTTCATCTAGCCTTTACTAAGTTTTACATGTTATGCTTTGTTTTTCAGGTGTGTTGTACTATGGCTTGCAATAATTTTAGGCTTAATTACTGCCAACAAGAACAATTCGAATGCGCATTAAAGCAACGCCCTGTTACAGCAATCAGATGCACTGAGAGCTGACAAATAGCTTATCGCTAAAGCGGTTTAGCCAAGATTTTGATCGCCTTATTCTCCTTCTAAGGTTGTCTTGCTGTAAATGTCAATGCACTGACTACAGTCCCTCTATTTAAGGTTACGCCAGTGGATACAAAGAGAGAATGACGTTGTACGTTAGCATACCCTTCCATATGCAGCTTGCGGGCCTGTTTTCCCAGCAGATGATAATTCCTGAGCCAAAGCCTGGATTTCGGTGTCTTTGCGAACATCCACGTCCCATCTATAATACCTGCAACAGTGAAGACGTTTGAAAAATCGATCAAAAGACCACAAAGTATTCTTAAGGGCACAATTACTCAAATAAAGATTTTGGATTGCCAATGCTCTTAAATGAAGTATCACTGATAAACTGGTTGTCTATTCCGTAGTGGTCAGTTAAGTTAAATCAATGACATTAAGGTTAAACCTTTATAGTATAATAAATCAATGTATACTCTGAATATCTTATACATGTAAGAAACAGTTAACTAAGCGAGTTCGTACTGAGCTCAATAACTCCGTTATGTCTTAGCATAAGAACACCTTGTCTTTTTACAGCAAACTATCGTTAGCCAAACACGTGCTAAATCGTAGTTAGAATATCTTTATTTAATGAAAAGGTTTGGTGAGCCAAAAAAGCTAAGCATTCCACGTACTACATATATTTTCATTAGATTTCTTTTTTAAACCTAGTTTGTTTCAAATAACAAAGCAAAGTTTCACATAAAAAATTTCCAGGTCAGATTCTTCCAATTTAAGCAATGCTAGGATTTCGGGAGAAGGTAGGCGCTAACCATGAACTTAAAACGAGCCTCGTCTTCAAATTATTCTTTCCATGCAACCGGACAATCAAGGACATTCCAGAGGTTTCATCAATCAGCGTTGCCATTAGTAATAAACCTCAGACTAGAGCATCAAAATTCTGCACAATGACTGTTTGGCTGGAAATTTATTTTCGATTCTAAGTGTGTTGTCTTCTTTTCAGCAAAAATGGTCAGTGATAATGCTAATATAGTGGATTTGACTGCACTGATGAGCTTTGAGTCCGCAATCAAGATAACTTATTTCATCGAAAAAGGTGTAAGAAATGCTTTTGATTCATCATTCAGTGATCAATAACGGCTCGACAATTTGCTAGTTTTGCAAAGCTAATGTATAGTGAATAAGCCAGTGATTTTTCGCAAGCAGCACCCGTACAGTTAGCTTTACCAGGTTGAAAATGGAGCTAGCATGCATTATAAGCCCCTTTCTTCAATTGTGAAACCGTCCTAAGATAATGCACATTGACCAAAATATGGTCATATATTTTAAGTCACTTTAAAGAGCCGTTGTTTGGCAATGCAAGGCATCTGATTCTCTTTAGAGGGCTGCTTCCACGGGTTTTCAGGGAACCCAAAAGAGACCATAATTAGTATATTGAATATCAAATTTACTTTCGCAGATAACCAAAACTTACATATTAATAAGCTTTTTTGTAAATTTTTCTAGCACTTTGTCAACAAGCCTTCCATCATCCCGGTATGGATAATAGGGTAACATTTTGGTGTCCTCCATTCCTCGATCCTAAAATGACAAATGCAAAAACATCATCGAAAAACATGCATATCATTCATAATAATGAGAATATTTGACAACGTCAGATATATTAAGTGATAGCATGTCATTTGACGTTTTTTTAAAAAGTCTGCCTTTAATGCCACAATACTTTCTAAAGTAATCTTCTGTGTATATGTACTTATTAGAATGCTCTTTTTTATTAGATGTTATTATTCTAAGAGGGGACCTTATGTGAGGTTTTCTTCTAGGCCTTTAGGTATCCTTCACTTGACACTGATAGTAAAACTGGAAATGACACCTATAGAAACAGGATTTCTTTTTTGGGCATAAGCAACGTAATTCTGCTGTAAAATGCATTGCATTGGTTTGAAGTATGTCATTTCGTAAGATAGTTAAAACAAGACTTAATAAATTCGCTTCAGTTTTAAGGATTGTTCACTGTCAAGGATACTTTACTGCAACGTTTCAACGAAATCAATCAACAATAAGAGAAAAAGATGCAAGTTTTAAATCAATCTTTGAAGACGGTTCTAATACCTTTATATTCTCTTCAAGGTCAATATCGTTCCATTTCATTGTTTGAAATCCCTTATAAAGCAGCGCAATTGCTCCTTTGTTGCCTCTCGAAAATAAGCTTCTGACAGTCTGAGGCGCATCAAGCAACGTCACCTTGCCCTGTGCGTTGAGGGGTATCAAGCCTCGACAGTGAAACTTTAATATCTGGTGAATTGGATGAAGGCTGGATAGATGCCGGTGCATCGATATGCAGATAGGCTCCATTCGCATGTGGGTGCGTAAAAGATGTTCGTACACTTGGCCATAGAAAAGGTCGGTTTCTTGGAATTGTGCTTTGACTAGATCCCACATGATTCCATCTTCTGGCGTGAAAACAGTTGCACCTGAAATAATGGAAAGGGATCTTTCCTTGAAAACTTTTGGTATCGTGGGTTGTAGGAAAATCCTTCCTTGCATTTACTTTCGTTTTGATGACAGCACAATCATTTTCAATTTTAGTATAGAGTGTTACAATGATAGCCTAACCTAGTTCTTCATCATTCATTTGTGCGTATCATCGGCCTAACAGTTTCACTCTCATAGCCCTGCTACCAATAGAGGAAACGAAGGTTTTTTGTTTTGAAAGTGGGGTTACAATCAGATTGTTCTTTGAATGACATTTCTATTTCTACTTCATCTAGGGTAATCTTACCAAGTCAAGCCGAGCTGGCAGTATATGAAAACTACAGCCCCCTCCTCCCATTTCTGCCATTAATTCCTAGCAAACTTTTGCTTAAGCAACATTTCTCAATATATCATTTGCAGGTTAAAAATGAATATTAGTGAGATGAAAGAGATTTTGTCAAGAGCTTGTCAGACATTACACCTAAATGGTGTCCCTTTTACCTGGCTTTGTGTCATTTTGAATGGCAACCACTTTGAACTGCCCTTCTCTGTTTACTGCAAACATTGCTATAGGCATACATGGTGCTCGCATCTTCATGCCTGGACGCTCATTTGCAAGCAGATCTTTCATGGCTGGAATATCTTTCAGCAATGGAAATTCTGCAACGTACACTTGTCGCTGCATAACTGACTAAACATTAAAAAACGATGAATGTAGTCAGGCCAAGAAGAGACTGATAAAGTATAAATGTCATTATCAGGATAGGTATTATTCGAACTTATTGTGCAATCGATCAAGTTGCTTTTCAGAAGGCTATTGATCTTAGAATTGACTGCAATGATAGAGAAACTCAAATATTGATGTTTCATTAGGAAGTAATTGCCTTTCAACTTCTTTTTTCTGATTACGATTGACAACTTTTCATGCTGATCTTTACGGTCTTACAATTTATCATGTTATGTGTTCAGGGACGTAAACAAGTGGCTAATTTTTGGGGGTCGTGGAAGGTTGAAAATTCCAATTTTACCTGATGAATTTTTTCTTTCGACCTGTTCATCCTACCTACCAATTTGATTTGGAAATAGCCTTGTGGCTTATTCTAGATTTTTAGGTTCTGTATAATTACCAACATAATCAGTCTTAATAATTAATTTTGATTAAAGTAACATGAACATTTAATCTTTTCGTAAGATATAAAGCAACATCAACGCTATACCAGCTACACATGATAAAAAGTAATATTATTTCAAGACAATTAAGAGCAATTCTGCAGATCAGTTTTATATAAAATATCTTTTTAACAATATAGAAGCATCAAGGAATTGACCATTTCATCTTTCGACCATTTCTTGATCGAAGGAAATTTTTTTACAATTTTCAGAGGGCTAAAGTTCCTTTGTTTTTTGAAACTGAAAAGGGTGATCTGAGGGCAAGTGCATATGCCCGATTCATGAGATAAAACACTCTACTTTGATCAAGTACTTCTGCTGCAGCTTCTTTGATCAATGTCTTGTAGCTTCTCTTAGATTTATCATAGCAATTTATGATAAGATTCAAGGAGGTCTGCAAAGTGCAGGGGGAGCTTAGCATACACCCGTTAAGAACCGTTGAGAATTTCTAGCAATGAAAGATCTTTAATGTTTTCAATTGAATTGGCTACTCGTTGTTCCAGAGTTTGAATTTTAATAAGATCTAAGATTTTTACATTAAAAATCCCAAAATCCTAAGCTATAAAATTCACATATTTGGTCATAATAGTTAGAAGAATTTCCAAGTGAACTTTTAAGTTTTCCAACTGCAAATGGATTTTCTAACCTTTGGGGGAGGCGTCACGCTACCCACACCCCTATTCTTTAGGTGCCTGTATCTGTTAGCAACTTTCTATAACTGAACTCTCCCTTTTTTGCATTTATATACGCTATGATTACACCCTTCTTCTAATTTTCATTTAATTTTAGCTAAACACAATTAATTACATCTATAACGCAAAAGTTTTACATATGCTGAGGTCACTCCCATTTACAACATAGATTGTAAATTTATTACCAAAAGGTATTTTTCCATAATCAAAAAAAAAATTTTTTCCATTTCCCTCGTGTCGGATAAAAAGCTTTTTTCGCGATATGTTTTTTTGGTATTGAAAAGTTGCTTACATAGAATCTAGCAAGAAATTAAAAAACTCAAACCAGCAATATATCTTGTCCTGTTACTGAGGTAATTGCAGCTTCCCAGTTAATTCTTGAAAAATCCAAACGTTTTTTGAGATTTTCCCAGTTTGTTCCCCTTGTACCTGAAAAAGATCCAGACAAACCAATTTTCAGGATTATGTGCTTAAAAACGAAAACAACTAAAAGCAAAGAAGCAAAGTTTCAAATATCTTATATAGTGTTTTCAAAAATTAAGAATTGAGCATTACAGAATAAAAAAAGAAAGTCAAAAAACATATTGATCATAAAGCAAATGAGGTAAAATAAATATAAAAAAAATATGAAATAAGATAAACAAATTAGAATATAATGAAAAAGAAACATAAAGAAACATAAAATGAAAATAAAATGAAAAAAACAAAATAGAATATAGAATATAAAAATGAAGATAAGATGGATGAGATAAAATTTAAGGAATAAAATTTAATAAAAAACGATAGAAAATTTGCAAAAAAAACAAAATAGACTGAATAAAATAATATGCAACATATGAAACAAAAGGAATCTAATTACAATGATAGAATTATGAAACAAAAGGAATCTAATTACAATGATAGAATTACGATGCATTGAAAAGCAAAAAATCAAAATAATAGAATAAAGACTATTTGGAGAAAAATTTTATTTTATATCAATATTTTATAGTTTCTAGATTGTTTTAGAATACATGTTATTAAAAATAAAACAAAATAAAAAGAACTAAAAATATAGAGTATATGGAATAGAAAAATTTAATCAAATGAAAGAGAGTAGATTAAATGAAAAAGCAAATAATCTCAAGAAAATAGTATTTTGAACAAACAGAATAAGTTAAATATAAAATTGAAATAATACGAATGAATAACATGAAAAAATTGAAAAAAACAGCATAGAATATGTAAACTTAGAAAATTAACATAGAATGAAATAAGGTATATGAAGAAAAAAGAAACAAATTTAAAAATTACAATGAATGCGAAAGAAAAAGAATAAAAATAGAAATGAGACTTTATGAAAAAACCGAATAAATGAAAAAGAATAACCCAAAACTCATTTTATGTTTCCCTGTTTTAAATTTCTAAATATAAATAACACTGAAGAAATTAAAAAGAATATTCAAAATAGTGTAAGAAAAAGAAATAAAGTAAGGTAGGATATATGAATTAAAATAAACATGCGAAAAATATGAAAACAAGCATGAAAAGAAAATTAAATGAAATAAGATGAATGGATAGAATAAATGAATTAAAGTGAATAAAAGTCGATAAATTAGAATAAGATAGATTGAATAAAACATAACAAAAAGAATTGAACATTTTTTATTGGAAAAAATAAAAGATGAATGAAATAATTATGATAAACTTGAAAAATCAAAATACATCGAATGAAAAGAAGAATACTTAAAAAATCAAATTGACAAAGAAAATATGTATGAAATAGAATTGAAAATTTAACCAAAAAAAGAAAAAAGTGTATCTAAAATAAATTGTTATTTTATATGTTCTTTTATCTTAAAATATGATAAAATGAAATGAAATAGATTATTTATAATTAGAATGAAATTAATTACACAAAGATGAAAAATGAATTAGAATAGAACGAAAAGACGAAATTTAAAATGAACTGCAATTAAAGATTACTTGAAGTGAAGAATAGTAAATATATCAAATAGATATAAAATATAATGAATAAAAGGAACATAAAATAGAGAAATAGAGAAAAAAATGAGCATAATAGATAAATTTCATAATAAGATAAGAAATCAAACAAAAAGTTTTTATGAAATAAAATGCAATAAATAACATAGAATTAAAAAAACAAATAATATTTGATACAATTATTTGTTTTAAAAAAGAAAAAAATAATACAAGGTACAATAGAATAAATGATATTGATTAAATATGTAATAAAAATTGAATATATTAAATAAATAGAAAATGAAATGAATTGAAATAGTTTATTATAAAATAAAATAAAATATATATAACAAATATAATAAATAGAATGATAGGAAAAAAATTGATAAAAATAAAAATTAATTTGATTAAAATGGAGGAAATAAAGCTGAGTTTACAAAATAAGTCATATAGAACAAATGAGATAAACAAATTTTATGTCATGAAATAGAATGCATAACATTAAAAAAAGGATATTGGAAAATGACAAATAAAATTAACTAAACGAAATGGATTTATTGTATAAAATAAAATGAAATCAATACATAAAACGTACTATAAATTGAAAAGTTAAAATAATCAAAATGATTAGACATACCAGGATTCTATAAAATGTTATGGAGCGAATCAAATTTAATAAAATGAATGAAATGAATGGGTTGAAATAGAAAATTTAAGGTAGATAGATGATATGGATCGAAATTGTTCAATGGCTTGATTGATATTGCCCTGATGGTTTAAAATATTGGCTCAAAACTTTGAATAAAATTGACATACAGTAAAATTGTGTGAATTTTTGCATTGAATGAAGTTTGCGCTAAATATGATAATACTACTTTGAATTGAAAATTTCGCTGTTAACTTTTGTACAAATTGCCAGCCTTGATTTTTCGTTTTTTTTTATCTTGAAAGTTTTGTACCTCTGTCGTTTTTATATGTAAGAAATCTTTATATCAATAAAAAACTGAAAATCGACAAACCATCATATTTTGTTTGTATGGTGGTTGTGACATTAAACTATCACTTTTAGTGTTGATTTTGTTGATCTGCAATGATGTAACGTTATTATTTCTAAGTTACAAGTTGATATTGTTACATACCATACCAGTCAACTCTTCTTAAGACCATAGGATTTAGGCCGGCTAGCCTTTGTTCAGCAAAATATCTGTCTGATTTGAAGCGTTCATCTTTTGTTAAAGAAGTAAAATACTCATAGCTGCTGCTGGGGAATTTGTATTGATCCAGCAGTGGAAAGGTCGCTTTCTACAAGAAAATTTTACAGTATATTCAAAGAAAGATTTCTAGTTCCGCCATGTTTTACGTTTTCAATAGCAAATATAATAATCACTATAAGTCAGCAATGATGATTATAAATTGATGCACATGAAAAGAAAAATTCTAAATTTAACAAATGGGTTTAAATTAAGCAAACATCTTTAGATAAAATAAGGATGAAAGGGTATGAAACTAAATCATATTTATCTTAATTATCTTCCTGATTCTTCTATAATTTTTTCATCCTTATTCTAGGGCTTTATACCTTGAGAGATGTAAGACAAAAAGTTTGGCTTTTTATTATTCAAGGCAAATTGCTTGCTTTTTCTTATCATCTTCTTGATAAATAGCTTGATAAATGCCATCACGAAAGCATCTGAAAATCTTTCATGAAGATCATAGACAATCACTATGTGTAAAACGTGGCAGCAAATGCTTTTTTGAAATATGAAAGGAAAAAAGAAAAGTAAACGATAGCTTTGGGGATAGTTTAAGGCAGGCCATTTACAATGAGGTTTGTAGAAGAAAGAAGTAAGCAACATCATTCCGTCCAAATGTTTTATATGTAAGAGAACTTCCAACTGAAAAATAAACTGAAGTTTAAAATGACTGAAACTCTAGAAGGTATCATCGAAGAAATCGTTCAAATTCTAGCTTTGCTAAATGTTGTCTTTTCAAGTCTTGCTTTAACTTCTGTCAAAAAAGCTAACGGGAATCCAAAATGGTAAAAAAAGCGAAATTTTTATGCTTACCAAAATCAAATTTCTAAAGTCTTCATGAACTTGAGTGTAGTTTTGAAAAGTTGTAAATTGAGCATTCTTGTATTTGAGTTCAACCATTGGTCCAACGAGGTTTCTCAGTTGCTTTGAAAGAACATTGAAGTAAAGATTAAACCAATATGCATGAAACTTCTCTGTCATAAAATAAACCATTGTGTCATGCAGCGGCTGATCTAGGTGAGGCAACGGCATTGCGTTATCAGGTTCTGAAATCTTGTAAAATTGCTTCAACTTTGCAACCTCAAGGTGCCGCCTTCTTTGACACGCTGTTTCCGTTTTATGGAGCAAGGATACTGAGCAGGCATTGCCTAAAACATAAAGGATCGTTAGAAGTCAAAGGAAAATCTTTGCAATACATCGCATTTTGCACGGTTGCAAAAAGAAATGTGTCCGCATGACAAAAATCTTTAATATTTCTATACTAAGACTCAAAATCTCCATTTCCAATCTTTTCAAAAAGTTCTTCAAATCATATAAGCTAAATGAAACCATGTAACATCGTTAACTGTTTTTACGAAGAGCTTTGGCAATAGATTCATAAGAAAATCAGAACATAACAGTAGATGGCAGGAACGTCTTAATTTGGCTGTTGGTAAAGACCATACGCACGCGCAGCAAACCCGGGAGGAAAGAACTTGCCTGGTGAATTAAAACTTACTATATGTCCTTCCATGATGAAATGTGGAACTTTCTGATATCTTCATTTCACCGTGAGGCGACCTTTTCAAAACAAGAAAGATAAAAGCATACGTAATAACTCGGTTTTATACTATTATCATACATCAAAACTTAAATTATGTCAAATCTTGGTCTTCCTAATGGTCTTGTAGTCACTATTTTCCTTATCAGACTATAAACCTGGAAACACAAGATACAGAGCAAGGGACTAGAAATACAATGTTGACTGTTGAAAAAAAACTTCTAACACGTTTGACAAAAGTACAAGATAGCACTTTACTTACAAGTTTTCTGAGCACTCGATTCTTCCTCCAACCAGAATAAAGCTAATCAGGATTATTTTCAACATTCTGAGTTGCCTTGCCAGACCTACAAGAGTAGAAATACCTAGGACATGAGTATGCAAGTTGCAAGGATCATAACTTAACTGCAAAAACCTTAATGTCTCTGATTTGAAAGAAAGTGTCAAATAAAGTAATTGGTAAAACTTTTTCTAGTTAATTAACATTAAAGCTTTTTTGATTGTCACAATATTTTATTCATGTGAAGAAATTAAAGATGTATCTACACTGTGCATACCTTCTTTGAATGACCTCGATGTAGTCCCTTGTAGATGGCCTCGATGTAGATGGCGTCTTGCGAAATGCTTTCCTTTTATTCTGATCCGACTTCCTTTTACGAGGACTGTACAATGAGGGTACAGCCTGTTCCTAGCAAACCTTTGTTCTTCTTCTTATTTCGCTGATTAATCTAAATGAATAATTTATATCAATGGCTAGTTACAATGTAAGTGGAAATCCTTGTCGATGCTAAAGATGTTTACTCGATAATTTTAGTCATCGATATTAGAAATTTTCTTTTTTGATATTTATCACATATTAATATTTAATTTCTTTCCATACTTACCCCGTTTGTTGTCGGATTTTTTATTAATTTAATATGAAAGCTATTTGATCAGCTTGTAAAACATCTTAACAAGAAATATCTGTGCATTGATCACGTAAAGGTGAGATTGTCCAACTTCCTTCCTTCCAATTATTTTGTTTCTCATTGAAAGGACAGGTACAAAGTCTCTGACAAAGATCCTTTTTATCTCGCCAAACTGTTAGGAAGCCAGAGGGCTTCTCCAAGCTAACTAAATGTGCTTGTAATCCATATTTTTAAGCTATAAGCCTTCAGTCACTTTATCAATTAACAACCAGCCAAATTTTGTTTATTCGAATATTGCAAAGACTGATGTTATTTCATTTCTTTAACACGTGATGAAAAATAGTTGTGCTTTCTATTCAGAATTCGTTCAGGAATCTCAACCGATGCACATCACCCTATCCTATCATTAGATTTTCTGAACGGCATATTGGCGAGAGGGTTAAGGGAAGCTATTTTAATTAATGTAAAACCAATTTAAGAAATTAATGTCGAGAAAAACATGTATCCTGAAAACAATGTTATCAAGTCTTTGAAGAGAATCCTGCTAAAATTTTAACAACGATGGTTATCAAATAGCCATGCTCCCCTCACTTTTCTAAAAAAGGCTTAGATATATTGCCTCGGATTTTCCTTCAGTCAAACTCCATTTTAGATAGAGTTTCTGGCCATCCCTAAGACACCGTAATTCCAAAATTTTTTCTTTCCTGATCCATTTCAAGACTTTGATATTTTGATCCCTCCACTTTTAAATACGTTTCACCGGCCCTGGTAGATAGGCACTGTTTCCGTTTAGCTTTTGGGTAATAATGCACATCCGTTCCTGTATACCCTAAGGAGTATCGGCCGGAGGTTATACTTCAGTTACATGTGCTCTATTTTCTTTTTGTGTCTTTGTGACACAATGTACGAACGGCTTTTGCTATGCGAAAGGCTTTTCCATATACATATGCTGTCTTTTTGTGCTTATTCTTGTCTGCTATTGCTATCTACATTACAGTACATGTATTCAGTTAGGCCCATGGACATGAAAAGCTGGTAGGATTTTGATCACTCGGTTTAAGTCAATCAAGAAGATGCGTAAGAAGGCTCAATACTGTGACATGATCTACAATACTCAAATATGGCTTATATCAGCGTCCAGAAAAACGTTTATACTCACTATGGACATTTCCTTCGTGCCTTGAAAACTTTTGTTGGAAAAGAAAGAAAAGATGACGGGAAATGGGAGTGGCAATTTGCTACGCACAATATGAATTTTACGTATGACGTACTCTAGAAACTCGGGAAAATAAACTCTTACGAGCATTCAATTGCATCGCGCTTTTTCATCATACTGTTTCTAGAAAGGTAATTTTTCTAATTTCTAAAATTCAACAACCCCTTTTGGTTTGTTTCCTCTGTCATTTCTGTCCTTATATGCAATAGAATTTTCCCTATGCTTAGTAGACTGCTCTTAGAGTCCCATCTTTAGCTTTGACAATTGAATTCTTCACAGTTCAATTGGCTTCCATTGTTATGTTTGGAGAAGTTACACTTTGTGGTAGGTTTAAAAAGATATACTTTTGATAAAAACACGTCCTTGAGGGAAAGCTTGACAGAAGACATCTTTGCAAATTAACATGGAATTTTGTGCCATAGAATGCATTTATCCACACCATGTCTTTGAATGCATTGTCTCCTCAAGGGCCATTCTTAACACGCTAACTAGAGGACAATTTCCCCTGCAGCCCAAGCGACTTTCGATTGTTTTAAACAATAGGCTATTGTCCTGCCTTTATACAACAACGGTTTGCCCACTGAGCTAATTTTCCTGAGAAGAAGCTCTGGTCTCTTCTAGCTGGCCATAGCAGATGTACCAATGCTGATTGAATTTAAACCAATTTAAAATTAGACGACAATGTTTGAATAAGTCAAAACTGTCAATTGGTCAAAATTGTCACCTTAAACAATCTTATGTTTATACAATTACAGATACGTAACATAGAGGTACCATGAAACGTTCCATGAATAAAAAAGGAAACAATTTTTCAGCTTTCTGACAAACGTGAAGCATGTTATCAATTCGAAGGTAATGAATGTAGGCCACAGAGACTGTGTAGCTGACAGTGTTCTTTATATTTTAATATCATAGACATGATTTTCGAGTTGTTTTTGTTAAGATGCAGAAGGCATAGCATCTATACCTCTGCTAAAGATTCTTCCTAATTCAATTCAAGGTACCCGAAAGTCGCTTATCAAGTCATAAATATTTGTCAACAAATATTTTGCATTTGCTCACATGCTCTTTAACTTCAATACATTTGAATTTCTGGACAAAGGCAGAGAAGGCTATTCCTATTTCGTTAGGCCAATTCAGCTGAATTCTTTGAATCCTGTAGGATCAGTTTCAATTTCTGCACTTTTTGATCTTCCACAGCTCTTTGCTTTTCCTAAAGCTTTTGCCTGAAAATCGTATGTTCTTTTTCTTTGTGGCTTCTTTTTCTGTTCTCTAAATTGTTCTCTTATTGCCTTAAAAACAATTTTTCTCTTTTGTTTCTACTTTTGAACTTCCAGCCATGTGTGTAACATACTTCAATATTATATCTATTTTTAAAAAATGAAAGTTATTCCATTCCACTGATCTGAGTACATTTCAATATTTACTGGGGAAAAATGTTATAATTGGCAATAAAACTAAGATGTTTTTTCAACTTCATCTAGATCTGTTTGTATTTTTTAAATTTGGAGCATTTTGGCCGTTTATAGAATCTTCGACTGAATTTTTTTTTGTAAAACACATCGATAACAACCGTTTTAAGTCTAACTTTATCATGGTAGCCACATAGATTACTGCAAATAATTTCAAAGCTTTTACGGTTCCAGCTAACATAAATTCAAGAAATTCAAGAATATTCACCCTGTTTGAAATTAGTTGATATTAACATTGGTATTGACGTGAATCGTGGGGGGGGGGGGCTAGCAGGGCTGCAACCTCTTAGTTAGCAACATTTATGGCATTCCAGGCTCAGTTTAGACAGTTCTAATTCAATAAAGCAATAAAATTCGGACAAGATCCATACTAAGCCCCCCTCCCTAAACATTTTCAAGGCGCCCCTTGATGCTCCCATAGCCTAGCGATCAAATAAGTCAGCAGTTTTTCAAACAGTCATTTTCAAATCCTGTACAGGGCTTCCGACAAAGGGGGGGCCAGGGGGGCCATGACCCCCTCACTTTTTTGCAAAACAATAGAGCTTTTTTAAAAACTTTTGTTATGATTGTTATATTTTCTCTTGGCCCTTCCACTTTCCAACCTGCATCAGAGCCCATGCTGTAGTTGAATTTGAAATATATAAGACACTTCGCTGGCGAAAATTTTAGCTTATGCATGCAAATTTTATCTATCATCAGACTCTATTTATGGACAGCAGAATCCTGATGTTTTAACTTTTATATGAATTCTGCATGATTAGAGCCCAATCTTCCCATGACGTCATAATACAATATCCAATCAAATTGCCTCTACTTGTGAAAATGGGAAACAAGCAGCTTGGTGTGCAGTACAGTAGGTAATGAACGAAGGAAAATATTCCCCTGATGACTACTGTTTCTCTATGGATGTGCTGTTAATATGAAGTGATATCGATATTTAGTAAATATTTAAATCTCCTATCCAACTTTTGTTACAATGGACTCAGAAGATGATGATTTTTTTTACGACGAAGACGAGGAGGCCTCCGATGAGCTAGATGACGATTACCTTGGCGATGATATTGATTCCTCGGAACCGGCTGCAAAAAGATCTTATGATGACGATTTTCAGTATGAATGTCTAACTCCTGAGTCTATTGTTTCAACTATGAACAGAAGCATTGATGACGTTAACAACGTTTTTCAGGTTAGTTTTGTCTCTCCCTTAGGCCCACTACAGCGACAAGTAAACAATAGGCCGCGAACGCTCTTTGCCAACTTATCAATGGCGTTAGGACAGACATTTTTGTTTAGATTAATCAGATTTTTACTTACTATTCATAAGAAATTGTATAGATAATCTCAATTGTCGTTAGGTTTTTGATTGCTGTATGAGCACCGTTTATAGCATATACCCAATTATGATATGCTCACTTACAATATTAACACTAAATTAAGCTAATATTTTGTGTAATTTTCTCTTTCGTTCAGATCTGCCTGCATTTTTTCAGTCTTGCAATTCCGATGCAGTAAATTTTTTAGGACATGATCTCAAATCTCAATTGAAAAAATATGTTTTTTGGTGCGAGGTCTGTAAAAATTAGATGGAAATTTGTTATGATTAATGGCTCAACAGTTGGGTCATTTGTTCCGTTCTTTATTGAAAAATAGTTATCTATCTAATCAGTAATTAAAATCAGTGTTCACAGGGGCGTATTTATTCTCACCACAACAATTTTTTGACACTATTGCCAACATGCCAATATTTGCACCATCCAACTTTCGTAAACCCATTCTTTCAATTTTCTCATATTTCTCAGTTGTTTTTTCATTAAAAGTCAATCATTTTTTTTATAAGAAACAAAGGTTGATGCTGAGTACTCCAGTTTCTTAATGTTCTGGATATTTCAATTCTTATTGTTTCTTAAGAGTTTCTTAATTATGATGTCATGAATGATGTTATGAAATGTTTGTGACTTATTTATCATGTCAAAATTTGCTTCCGCTCTGATGCTATATTTAGATGTGGGAAGTATGTTTTTATCCCTTGTGTCTTAAATTCTAGGCCAACAGGGCAATCATGTTCTTGGATTTTACAAAGTTTCGTTGTTCTCAGTTTTATCACAATTCTATAGTTTCTTAATTTTTTTGCTTCGAGTACTGGAGTATCTTAATTTTTTCTGACTGTCCAGTACTCATTTCTTAAAGCCAGCTTCTTATAAAAAGAATGAGTGTATTTATGATTCTTTAATACTTGATCACCTGAAAATATTCTCTCCCAGTATAGATTTCTTCATGAAACTCACATCATTTTGATAGCCTCGGTGAAGCACATTTACATAAGCCTGGTCAACAATAGGAATATATTTCAAAATTATCTTCTACAAAATACAATCTAGACAGCACTTGCTTGAATTTGGAGAGTTATTTTAGCTGTTGTGTTAAGGAGGCATCTGCTAAAATATCTTGAAAGGGACAAGAAACTGCTCTGGATGATGCAGGTGTTTTCCCAAACGCTGGCATTTGTTCAGTTAATTTTCTTGCCAAATAAGCAGATTGTTGTGCATTTTTTAAATTAAACAAATTTGATCAAGCTTTGAATCATTGTCTGAATGTGCAGTTTATGTTTTTGAAGTTTGTTTATGGAAACTGTCTAGAAAGGTTAGATCATGACCCAATTTTCACTAAACAAAACTGGCTATTTGCTTAGATACTTGTTGCAGAAAACATCTGCTCTTATAAACTTCTGACTATGATAAGCCTGAAGAACTTTGATCTTCTTCTTCCACATCGAGAAAGCTCTTAAATCCAGCTTAAAAGATACTAGAGAAGGGTGAAGATTTTACTTTTGATCATTTGGTTTCTGTGTCACATATTTATTGGTTTTTTTTTCTGCAACTGCTTATCAAATTTGTCCCTTCAAAAATAAGTTACTAAAATGGCTGTTACTTGCCTCCTTGTACTGTAAGTTATTTTTAGTTTAATTTGAAGTATAGAGGTCTTTTTTAATATACAATAAAGCTATAATAATCAGACTATTATTTCAACATCATTTACCATGGATAGTTGTTATACTTGCGCAGAATTCTATTTTACATCAATCTCACATTTAAAGGCATTGAGTCATGATATAATGGATTAGGTATACCCTAAGTGCAAAATCCGCTGAGTCATGATTTTCATGACTGTGATGCTACTGGTTGACCTGGAACTGGTCACATGAACTCACCTCGTACTGATTGACAAAACAATTTCCATCAATAGCAAGTTGTCAACAGCGGATGCAAATATCACATGAAATAGCAGCGATCACGCCAAAACCAAATGACCCCCTATAGAGAAGGCCTATTTACCATGACTCAATGCCTTTAAGTATACTCAATTTCTTTACAACTATACAACATAAGAGGAATAATACCATGGGAAAAGTGACAACTCCTTTGAACTTACATGAAGACATCTAAACCGCCATACTAAATAGACCTTAAAAAAAATACAGTATTAGCAATTGAATACTGATAGATCTGAAAAGGATAATTGACTGGCATTAAATCATTTTCAGATTTAAAGCTGCTTTTGACAGAACTTGAGTTTTTCTCGTATACAGATCTAAGCTTTAATAAAGTTTGAAGAGATTGATGAAGTGTTGCTTTAATTTTTTAAAATGATTCTTCGTTATTGATAGCTCAAAAAAAATTGTTCTGTAAATTGATGAGCAGGGAAATCACATGAAGCTGGTTATTTAATATCATCTAAGATAAATTTAATATCAAAGCATATAAATTAATTGTTTGAATTGGATATTTCAGAAAGATTGTTAAATAGCTCAAGACAGCATGATTCATCATTGCTGTTGACACTGAATTGGTTGCATGTCAGTTTACTCACCTGCAGAAAAAATGTTGGTTACATAAACAGATAAATTCTTTTATTTCCTGTAAGTTTTCTTCTTAGAGTCCCTGTAGGTGATAGCTAATTGGTTCTAATTAATGCTAGCTTTTGATAGTGCTGCATGTTAAAGAGTTTTTACGTGCCTCCAAGTTTTGCATTTCTCATGCCAATGGCTCTTTTCTTAGCTAGTCTTCTACTGCTTTTTCCGCTCCTAGATACAAATCTTATTTAGAAAACTTATATTACACTTTCCAAATTAAGGGCAAATGCAGGAAGGTACACAAAGACAAACAATTTTAAGTATTTCTCAACATTTTCAATAATTTTTAATTTCAAGTACTCTTCTATTCAACTAAACAACGACTTCTATGACTCATTCTGATCTATCTCTGTCTCTGTGATCTATCTCTCTTTAGTTTTCTCTCATGTACAAATAACAGCAATCTCCATCAACATATATCATCACATTATTAAAGTGAAATTTGATGCTATTTGTACATGTTTGTCACAAAATGCTATCAAATGTAAATAGATCAACTTATCTTTGATAGGAGGTAGTTGTGATCAAAGAAATTCGTGTTATTTCCATTTTTCAAAAATTTTAAGAAAAATACCAGAATATTTTTGTTCATAAGAAAAAATTTCAAACATTTTCTGAGATTGAAAGAGTTTTAAATCAATTTCCGAGGAAGCAGGTTGTAAATATTAGTTTGGTTGTGATGTCATAAATTTTCTTCTATTATTTTTACCATCTAATCTGAAACAACATTTTAGAACAATCCTTCATTTTAAAAATAGATAAATAAATCCAAAATTGGCTTATATATAGATGTAAGAGTATAGGCTCTTTCCCTATCTGGTCAGATTAATAAAGTCTATATATAATGAATATTTACTACTTCTAGATATCTCCAGCAACAGCAAGGATACTCCTCACACATTTCAAATGGGACAAGGAGAAACTGCTTGAAAGGTATGATGCATCAATGAGCCTGAATTCTGACTACGTTTTCATGTGATACATGTTAGGGAATTCTGAGTATGATATTTTCTGTTTTGTTTGGAAAAATAACCAGTGAGTGCAATTGATAGAGATGAATTAGATTAGCCTAATGGTGAAACCTTTATTGTATCGTCATTTTGTTGAATAATTTGTAGCAATGCTTGGCAGCAGGTCGTTTTGTGTAGCAGCTGCCTTGATTTTGATAAGAAACAAGTAACTCTTGTAGCTGTCAAGAATCTGCTGTACAAAAATATCTAAGAGTAATTTGTGCCATTTTCTTCCCATGCATGTATACAACAGGAAAAAAATGTCACACTAAAGATGTATTTATGTCAATCATTGATTGCTAAAATTTTTTTAATTTTTTCTCTTTCAGATATTATAGTGGTGATCAGGAGAAGCTTTTTGAAGAGGCACATGTCATAAACCCACTTAAGTTGAGAGGGAATTCAACCAATAAGGTCAGCACATGTAATGACTGATTAAAAGCTACATTCTGTTCTCCTGATTTATATACATATGGTCTATGCAGGTCAAAGAACCATATTTATATGACTGATCACCCAGGCACCACAGAGCAAGGGGGCTGGGGGGCTTTAGCCCCACTTTTTGCAAAAAATGCCAAATACTAAGTAATAAAATACCAGTAAAGCCTCTGTATGTGGTTTTAGCCCCCCACTCTTCTTAGACCCCCAACTTGTCCCCAGCATGTAAAGATCCCAGCTTATAGCATTGCCATAGATGAATGGCTGCCTAAAACAATAGCCATTCTGGTTATCATCCATACATAATTTAAGCTAAACTGATTTTCTCCGACAACCATTCTGACCTATCATACTTTGAGGAGGGTCAGAAGAGAAACTTCTTTAGTAATACGATTTCGCTGTTTTCTGAAAACTTTTAGTTTCGTGCCACCCCAGATTTTTGTTTTGTCTATAATTTTATTAATGATAAGTATTTTAATTGTTTTAATTCATTAAAAATAAGGAACTTTCTAAATCTCGTTCTAAGATATCAATCCCTAAAAGGGTTATAGATTATTGCTCTCAAGATGAAGCAACAAGGTTGCATCCAGGGGCGGATTCAGAGCAAATTTGAAAAAGGGGCAGTTGGTAGTGGAGGCGCTGAAAATTTTTCAAAAATTGGTGACAAGAGTACGCTGTATACAACAATTTCAGATCCATTTTCATAATAAAAAACATAACTTTGAGGTAATCCTTGAAGCAAATTAACCTATCGGTCTCAGAAACTTTTTCACCTGATTCTCGTTCTTCAAAAGGGGCGCACAATTTTCAAAAAAGGGCGCCAGACTTGCTTCAACTCGTCGAGGGAGGTGCAACTGCCCTAGTTGCCCCCCTTAAATCCGCCACTGGTTGCATCAACCCTGTCAAACAAATGGTTCTTCCTCTACTGCTAATGATCTTATCTATTTCAACTAGCATTTGCTTATTATTAAGTGAATCATTTCTTCCGTTTTGGCATTTTGAAAGCCAGGTGGTATTCGGTTTCGAAAACGTCACGTAAATTAGAACAAATGGTTAACCAAAGACGTTTTGGATTAATATTCTAGTACATCCCATCACTTCTGTGCTAGTATTTAAAACAGAAACACATTTTCGTACTTGTGATGTGAGCGACGCAACCGTTTTAATTCAGCCCATATACGAAAGTGTCGGCCTAAACTGTCACTTTGAAAGTGTCGATAAACGAAAGTGATGAATTTCCGTAAGTTGGCAAAAGTCATCGGATGATTTTTAGGTCGAAAATGCTGATATTAGCGAGTCTTTAAGTTGGCATTTCTGTGATCCGTCATATAACAAACCATGCTAGCAAAATTTATTTCTCAAGAGTTCAAGACATTTTTAAGCATGTTACTAGAGGAAAGGGTTGCTTCCAAATCAAAGATAAGTTATCAAATGGGCCAATTAGCTGGCTAACTGATTCATCAATGAGTTCGAATAGCCACCTCTGACGTTTTTTTGGTATGCCAACCATAAACGATAGCAAGATAAGCACAGAAAGCAAGCCTTTAGGTCATCATTGCCGAATGCGATTTTAGATTAAAAAGACCTACATTTTATGATTACAGCTACCATCTAATGAAACCATAAATAGTTTCTTGAGAAACTGGAAAAAAAGGAAGCCGAAAGGTTTGGGTATAAGATTTCGTCAAGGGTGAGGCGTTACTGTTACAACCTCACCCCATAGACCTCAAGAATCCAGTTCTGGGCTCATTTAGGCGGTTGAATACCTGTCAATTTATGCAAAAATCTTCTTGGCCAAATGATCACAAGATGAAGATAATTTTCTAGGTTGAGAAATCATTAGAAGCTTGGCTTAGATACAGGCGAATGCAGTAGGGGGGAAGATAGATGTGAAGTATTTATTAATGCTCTTGACAGGTGTGATTGTGAAATTTTTTTCATGTCAATGAAGTACGCATAACTCACCTGATTTATAAGTTATATTTCTTTCAGTTGACGGTTAGTGGCAGTGGACGTTTGAATTCTAAAATCGACTGTGATATTTGCCTGTCTCCAGTATTGCAAAACGTGAGTCTTTCTCAATATTCCTGTTTTTATATCGTTCCTCAATATCGACTGAATGTGACAGCTTTAATGTATGGACTATTAAATATATCTTTAAAAACCGAGAGACACTGGTGTAAGGACATGAATGTTGCAAACTAAACAATGCGCTCAAATTTCAAAACCTTTAAAAAAATAGCTTATGCCAAAGGTTACCCAATTTCTGTGATTTCTACAGAAAATCATAACGAAGTGACAATTACAAAAGAATTGTTAGTAGATGGGAATTATTTTTCAAATGCCCCTTTACTCAAGCCTGCCCCCTTGCCCCTTTGTCTTTCCAGCATCCCTTTGCCGTTTTTAAAAGGTTGCTGATTTCCAATTAATACAAAAAAAACGGGTTAAAACAAAAACGGCTTAAATGTTATCAGTTTTTCGCGTTACGTTCCAACTAACCCACTTGACGAACAAGAAAAGGGTCTCAAAGTGGATCAGTTTAAACCCGGGTATCTTTTAACTCACCTGCTTGCTAGTGGAATCGCCAAACCCGGATAACTTTTGACCCACTTACATAAACAACAACATCATCAACTATGCGTGCTTTGGTTTCTGTTTATAATTTTATAAGGACAAAAGGAGAAAGATAACCATACGTTTTCAACCTGTATACATTTTAACCCAGCCCAGTCGAAACCGTGGAAACCGTCAAAGACGGATTAAAACAAATTTAAATAACTGGTGTTCCATTGATTCACTTCAATAACAGATACACTTCAACCCGTTTTTGTTTTAACCCGGGCTAGTGGAAAAGCAGCCTCAGTCTTTAACTTAGTTCGACAACATCGAACACTGATATTAGGTGCTAATGGAACTCGGAGCTCCAGTCTAAATTAAGAGATTCCTAAATTAATAGTACAAGGCCCTGGGCCCGCAAGGAATAATTACCTAAAATATGAAAATGAGATAATGAAGTTTAATAGTACTCATTATTAACTTTTTCATCAGTTTTTTGAACTTTTCTTTCCCACCCCTGTCGTGAAGGTCGAGCTACGACACAGTTTATGCTAAGAAGGTCAGTTTATGTTTGAGTTCGGCCTGTAGATCTACTGAGAACTTCATGCTGCCGATATCGTAGCTATTTTCCTACTGCCAAGAAATTCTTCGTTTTCTATCAGTTTCGAAAACCGAATGAAGAATTAGGAAAACACCATTTTTATAGAAAATTTGCAAACAGCACACCAGAGTTATTGAAATAAATAACGTGTAAGGATTTCAGAATTATTAAAGAATATTTTATCTTTTACTTATTCCAGAATTTCTATCACTTAAGAGATATCTTCCCGTCAAATGTTTTAATAGCGATTTTAATTGTGTCAAGTTGTGGCAGTAACATATGATATTTATTTATTTAGTCAATGGCAGGTTTAGAGTGTGGCCATATGTTCTGCACGCTCTGTTGGAACGAGTACCTTAATACAAAAATTCTTGAAGAGAACATAGGACAGCACATATTTTGCCCTGCAACAAACTGTAGCATTCTAGTCGATGAGAACTTTGTTAGGTTTGTATAAATTTTATGTTCCTTCGTATACTTGAATGCTTTAATATTTCCTGAAGTTTTTCCTCATCGTGTAATTTCTTAAGGCCGAATTATTACTATCAGTTCTTCCACGTGTCATCAAAGATGATGATATAACAACAGTTTCGTGTAGTTGCCACTTTCTTTTGTTTCCCCTGTTGCCCCTCTACTAGTGTATCCTATATTTCCATTGTATAGCTGATTAAATGTTCTCTTTTCAAAGCAATGTTTGTTCAACGTCTTTTTCTTTCTTTCTGCTGGAAATTGTGAATGGTTACTGTTGCTCTAAATGGGGCTGTCAAGCGAGTTGCTTGATATTAGCTACAATACATTTTCTCTCAAATTTTTAACATGTTTGATTTTTTTATTTTTTCAGCTCTGTTCTACAAGATATTCGAGTTAAATCGAAGTATCTCAAACTAATTGCTGATAGCTTTGTCCAAGTAAGCAGTCAAGTGTAATTCTTCTACAGTTAATATATTTTGTTTCATACACCGTGTTAAGGCCTGTTTTGTAAGAAAATTTCATTCCGCTTACTTGGAAGAAGATTACAACCGAAATCTAGCATGATTTATTTTCAGATTTACGTTTCTATTCTTGAAGGCAACCTTGCCTGCCTAGCGCCACCTCCTGTTGGTCTAGTGAGACCCAAGTAGGCGGGATAAGAATTTTCCCAACAATGCACCTTGTCATAATAACTATATAATTTTTTGCTATTTGCAATTTTATCGATTCGTCATTTTTGTGCTAGAAATAACACAACGCTGGTAAATGTTAATTGTGAATTGAAATTGATAAACCAACTCCATGTCTCAGTTTGTCTTTCCTTTTGTTTACTTGCCACATTTGTAAAATTACAATACACCTCATAGACTACTTTCAGTGATTCCAATATGTTAATTGCTAAATAGTTGATTAAATATATCTTTATTTCTGTTCAGAGCCATAGGTTGATGCGCTGGTGCCCGGCACCCGACTGTACAAATGCTGTTAAAGTTTCCTACAACGTAGCTAGAACGGTCAATTGCTTGTGTTCATTCTCATTTTGGTAAGTCTCGTTGTTCTTTCTCAACAACTGAAATCATAGCAGCACATTCATCAGACTCAAATTTAAATGCCTCTTTCTGCTAATCTAAAATAGCACCATCAGCAAGACAATCTGGCTATTTAAAAATAAGGAATCTTAGCCTGCCACTTTCTTTGAAGCCAATTTTTGAAGAAATAGACCTAAAACCTACAACACCTGAGGTAATTGAAACACGTAAAATAATATTAGAACAAAGTCATTTTATAAGGATATCCTTATTGCATTATTGGCGTGACAGTTAGACAAGATGAAATTAGGCAGTTTGGTAAACCGAGAAAGAGAACCAACTCAGAATCCTCCTCAGGCTTTAGTTTTTTACAATACCAAATTGTCTATTGTTATGTTGGTTTCAAAACTGAAAAAAATAAGTTTGTTGTGCTGCAAATTGCCTTATCAATCTCGCCGCACCAGCAAAAACTATTATTTATCTTCTCCTATAATCTTGTGGCTGTTTTTTCTGTTTGCGATTGTCTTCAGTTAGACAATGTTAGATATGAAATGGCATGAATAAATGGCCTCTGTGTGGTCTTCCAGTATTAAATTGTAGATTTGAAAGTAGTACCTTCATGGATTCTTCAGTGTTTATAGATCTTGAAAAGAGCTTTGATTGCACGCTGTCTTTACTTACATTTCTGTATTATTTTTGGTTTTATTCATGATGATGTGGGAAGCGTAGGTGTCAAGAAAAGAAATTCCGTAAGGAAGTTCCTTTTTAAGAATAGATGTACAGTCTTGCTAGATTTCTTCAGATCAGATTACCGCAAACAATTGAATCTTTAGAACAATACCCTTGCAATACCCAATATGCTTTTTAGAACAATACCCTTGCAATACCCGATATGCTTTTTAGAACAGTTCCCTTGCAATACCCGATATGCTTTTTAGAACAATTCCCTTGCAATACCCAATATGCTTTTTAGAACAATTCCCTTGCAATACCCAATATGCTTTTTAGAACAATTCCCTTGCAATACCCGATATTCTTTTTAAAACAATTCCCTTGCAATACCCGATATGCTTTTTAGAACAATTCCCTTGCAATACCCGATATGCTTTTTAGAACAATTCCCTTGCAATACCCGATATGCTTTTTAGAACAATTCCCTTGCAATACCCGATATGCTTTTTAGAACAATTCCCTTGCAATACCCGATATGCTTTTTAGAACAATTCCCTTGCAATACCCATATGCTTTTTAGAACAATTCCCTTGCAATACCCGATATGCTTTTTAGAACAATTCCCTTGCAATACCCGATATGCTTTTTAGAACAATTCCCTTGCAATACCCAATATGCTTTTTAGAACAATTCTCTTGCAATACCCGATATGCTTTTTAGAACAATTCCCTTGCAATATCCGATATGCTTTTTAGAACAATTCCCTTGCAATACCCATTATGCTTTTTAGAACAATTCCCTTGCAATACCCGATATACTTTTTAGAACAATTCCCTTGCAATACCCGATATGCTGTTTAGAACAATACCCTTGCAATACCCAATATACTTTTTAGAACAATTCTCTTGCAATACCCAATATACTTTTTAGAACAAGTTCCTTGCAATACCCGATGTGCTTTTAAAAACAATAGCCTTGCAATACCCAATATACTTTTTAGAACAATTCCCTTGCAATACCAAATATGTTTTTTAGAACAATTCCCTTGCAATACCCAATATGCTTTTTATGACTTCTAGCTAACGACTTTTTCATACTATGCCTGGACTAGTAACTTCGTTGTTAAGAAGCATTGTTATCGAAAATTTTTAGATTGAACGGTTTTCAAGCGTTTCGTATAAAACTTTTGTTTACTATTGCCAATATTTTATTGCTCAAACCTCCTGTTTTGCTAAGCCTTGTCAACGAATAGTTGATAGGCGTTGAAATTTCATGCAGCCTTTTTTATGTTTCATTAGTTTTGGTTGCGGTGAGTCAACTCATGAACCAGTCAAATGCAAGGTAATTTTGTAAATATTTATTTTCTCTCCTCCACTAATTAATCTTTATACCACTATTTAAAAAAGAGCTTGTAAAAATGATGAGCTTTTTAGATATGTTTATCTTCGTTTGCATTGTCGCTGTTTTAACCTTCAACTGCGCCTCTGCTATAGGCACCTGCTGGAAGGGGGAACACCTGCTGAGAGGGGGAACACCTGCTGGAAGGGGGGACACCTGCTGGGAGTGGGGACACCTGCTATTAGCATACGACATAAAACACAACTTTGCAAAATTAAACTTACTTTTGATTGAACCAAATTTTGAAAAATAGTCATACTTCGATTCGCTGCGATTGTTGAATGTTTGCGGATTCTTCGAGGAAGTTTGAAGTCTTAAAATTTTTTGAATCTATCAAAAAATTCTTGGTCTGTGGCGTTTTATGGCTTTTAAGCACAAGGTTTTTCACTCCATTAAAGGGTTCAGCACAGCTTTAAATCTTTGCGCCGATTTCCACCGACTCTATGACAGTTTTACGTTTCACAGAGCTCTTCTGTATTTCATAGAGTACTATTGCCTTTATGCGCTTATTTTAAGTTCAATAAAAACTTTCCATACGTCTGTCGTATTTTTCCTGGTAGACAATTTGCCCTGAGTAGTTAACCTTCGATTGCCCAGTTGCCAAAGACACCACAGTACTCAATTAATTCTAATCTACACAATCAGTTATCAGGTGTCATCGTCATGGAAAACCAGACACCTTTGATGAATTCGTGTTAAGTGGGTAAAAGATGCAATTTGCTTATAATACCACAGCGGTTTGGGAAGTTTGCAGACGGAAATTATCAGTCTGCCCAGAGCAAGACATTCTTGATAAGTTGTAGAGGACAGTGGGCTCTACGTCATAGACTCATTAAACAAGTAGTGTCTTTATCAACACTAACCGTTATTAATAATGAGTCGTTACATGCTTGGTGTAAATGAAATGAGTTGTTTATCCTTCTCAATGATGATCTAACCAAAGCGCAAAGATGGGTTTGATTGTTGGTTTTTCTAGTCAACCATTTACGATTAAAGACCCAAAAGCTATTACTCATATGAGGCGTGAATGACGTTAGTGCGTTTGCATGTGTTTCAATTCGTAAAATGAATGATGATTACGTAATTCAAAATCATGTTTGGTCATTACAGACAATACAATTCTTACTGTTTACGTAAGAAACTTTTGCTTTTTAAGAACTTCTAGAAGTTACGAGCGTAAAATCTTCATTTACTGTTTATTTCTTTTGTCTGTAGACGAAGTTTATCGATCAATGTGGAGTGAACTTTTACTAGATCAAATGTGGAGTGAACTTTTGGGCAATTAGTGACTTGGATCGTTTAAGAACCCTAGAAAAAACAATGTGTTTTAGAGATTGATACCAGCAAGATGCATTTTATAACATTGCTAATTCAACATGTTCTCAGAGTTAGTTTATTTGTCTAGTTGTGTAAGGTTTTTATAAGATTTCTCTTTCATTTAGTGGTTACGAAAATGGCAAAAGAAATGTGACGATGATAGTGAAACTTCCAACTGGATATCAGCCAATACGAAAGTAATTATGTAGCATTTCTCTAGAAAAATTTAGTATGTGTTCCTCTATTTTAATGTACTGACGTCGAAACCTGACCGTTATTACGGACTAAACCCTTTTTTATTTTCATACGGTAAAGATTTTCATTGTTCCAGCTTCTTATGATAAAAGTATGATCCAAATGCTTTCGGTTTGATCACAATATTCTCATGTGATAATGTTAGCCATTGTACAGATGATGGTCGTTGGTAGAATCTGCTCACAAAACCTTTCGAGATAACTTCATGTGATAATTTTCGGGCCAACCAATAGTACAGCCGCATTAAAATCATAACTCTCAAGTATTTGGATATAACTTCTCTCCTTATTTCACCACTCGGTGCCAGTAATATTTTCGTTTTATACAATCAAAAGACAATGTACATTGCAAGACTTAAAGGTGGTGAAAAAGTGTTCCTTTTCCCGTATACATAAAGCATTTTTTAACGATCATGATGATCAACTTGCACAATTTTGCGAAGTAGTTCGGGCCCAATATGCCGAGAAAAAATTGGTTGAACTCTTTAATACCAGAAATGCTTCTTGGCAGTAGAAATTTTTCACTTGTTCAATTTTGTTTTACACTCTTTATGCACGGTCACCCCACCATTCAAAGGTGTTTATAGGGAACCAGGGTTACAAACTTGCGAATTGAGTTTTTATAATCTAAAAAAGAAATAGCTACAGGCAAGTAGAATGAAACTGAAAAAAAAACGGTAAAACATAAAACATACCAATTGAAAAAAGCAAGTTTGATCTTTTTTGATCTTCAATAGTAGGTTTTCTTAAAAAAATGATAAGTTAGTCTTTTTACTCGTTTTGCGCGTTTGATCGCTCTTGGCTGCTCATTTCCAAGTGCCCAGACTTCAGTTAGGCATTGTTTTTTATTCATGGAAAGTTTTCCTTCTATAGACTTAATTGCTGTTTTTGAAGTCAAATATCTAACATTACGAGTTTTTTAAAAAGAATTTTACAGTTGCAAAAGGATCATTAATTGACTGGCTGAAACAATTTTCAAGATAATGTACAGTGGTTGGAATTGACAATGCCAGCAAAAATGGCAAGAATTAAACGTTGTTTTTGGACTTTTTGAAGACATTGTCGGCCTGTGGTTTATTTCGAATGGCAAGATTTCAATATTTTATGTCACCTGCATGTTAAAAATGCTAACATTGTGATTTACTCGAAGTTTCGCCGGCTGCCATTTGTTTCGCAGAAATGCTATTTATATGAAATCAAGTGAGCCGAATTTTAATTAAAGCTTTCAAATTAGCCGTAAGATGCAAAACCTGTTAACCAGCGCTTTTTTATTCATATCGTCGCATTATCCCTTTCATATGCATTAATATTTCATTAGAATCAATGCATATATGAAAAAACTCGATCTTAAGTAAACCATTTGATGCCTTGAAATCATTCTTTGGCGTTTGGTTGAAGCTCGTTATCCTTCATTTTATCCTATTTGTTTCTCATATTTGTGAAAGATTATCTAACAAATCGCCTGGAAGATCTGTTGTCTTTCAATCGGAAGCTCAATTGTCTGCCCCATGGCTGTTTTGTGTTGTATACATTTCTTTGCAATCAATTCATTTGCTTTGCATTTTAGGAGTGCCCGAAATGCCACGTGACAATCGAAAAGAATGGCGGTTGCAATCATATGGTTTGCAGGAATTCTGCTTGCAAGGTTAATTGAATTTTTATTCAATCCTTTTTTCTGGACTTTGCTAGACTTAACGAAATCCCCTGCTATCCATTTTTTTCGTCAATGTAACATCCTGCAGTATTATACTTTTTTCTTTGTACTTTCATTTTCACTGTTTTAAAGATCTATTTTTAAACCTAAAGAAGCGGGATACTTCTAATGTTAAATGGTATTTTATATTTGCTGATTTCGTTGTTGCAAAATGATATGAGCAACAATACAAGCTTTCTCAGTGATTGTTTCTTGTATCAACCGGCAGATTCTGTCACGGTATTAAATCTTGAATAAATGTCCAATGGATTATTCGCATACAGGAATTTTTTATTAGAGGAATGTTTTCCGTCTCGTGTTTTATATAACGTTAGATATTATTGTGTCATGTGTAGATTTTCAAATGATATATAGAGTTTTAACTAGAAGCGAAGTATATGGGTTATTAAAATCGTCTGTAGGATTATTTTGTCATCAAGTTTTGGACAAAACTAGGCTTAAATGCTATAAAGAATTTGTTTGCAAATTAACTTGCTGTTTGATCCAGGATCGTCCTTGTGTAGGCCAGCTACTATGTAACGTCTCAATCTGTCACGCTAGTTTAGATTCTGAATAATTGTTTTTTGTAGCTCTTCTTAAGAAAACTTTATTCGTTTTTACGTTTTTAGTGTGATTTCTGCTGGGTATGTTTAGGCCCTTGGGATAGTCATGGCTCAAGCTGGTGAGTTGCAATATTTGTCGAAATTCTTTCTGCTAATCTATGTATGTGGATTTGAAATTGCTGAAATCACAAAAATTGTTGTTATTCGGTTTCTTTCATATTAAAGCAGATGTATTCTACTCAACGGTAATTCAAAATCGATATGGCCAATAATTGTTTGCTAGCCAAGAGTACAATATCTAATTTTTTATGCCTTGTCTCCTATAACAAAGATTTTGTTAGGTAGAACTGGAAGAAACTGATGCCGAAATGAAACAGCAATCTTTGTCAAAAATTACATCGTTCGTTAAGTTCAGTTGCTCAGTTTTATTAATTTGGAACTCAACATAAGAACGGCTCTGAATATTACTTCATAAAGTATTTGATGCAAATAATAGTATTTGAAAATATCGTTTTTATCGATTTGGTACCTTTGAAATTAACTCGTTGAAATAAGCAGATTTATGATGCAAGAGAGCAGTTGGGGGATAGTTGATTTCTAGTAAATTCTTGAGTATTTTGAAACTTTGAATCTGGTAGAACAAGCCCGACTGCTTACCTATGTTGTAGGCAGACGAAAATAGTCTAACTACCGAACTTTTATACACATACATGCTTATTAGCCTTGCATTTCCTATACTGCGAACGATTTTGTCTTTGCAGGTACAATTGTAATCGATACGATGAAAAAGAAGCACAAGCAGCCAGGGATGCCCAGGCTGTAAGAATTCACTAGCAATTTTTGTTCTCAATGTCTAGGTTTTGTAGTTTAATTCTTTGATTATCTTTCTCTTGATTGACATAACTAGCAATAAACAATTGGATTTTGGGAATGAGAGAGACTTTTGTAGCCGCGGTCAAAAACTGTTCACGCCGATTGGATAGAAACAAGACACCAATCAAAGCACACCAATACATTCCCCCCCTCCCCCGGAATTATTTTGATCCAATTGAACTATAATCCGACGTTTATACTCCGAGGAGTGTCGGACGAAAAGTACTTGAGTATGTTTTTCCGTGCTATCTTCTAAATGATCACTGATTTCTCTTAAAATTCATGTTTATTATTTTGTATAGTTTTTTGTTTTTCCTTTTTTGGAGAGCGGACTCAACAAAGCTCTTAAGATTATACCATTCAACTTCGTTTCAATGTTATTATTTTGATTTCAAGAAGATATCTATTATTTCCTTATCTCTTCTCTTTCTAGAAGTCTCGTGCGAAGTTAGAAAGATATTTGTTTTATTGTAATCGATATATGAATCACCTTCAAAGTGCAAAGTTCGAGAAAAAGGTAAAGTCTCTGTTTTAATGCACAGATTTTTTCTTTTACTTCATGTATGACATCTCACCGTATTTTCAGACTGACTACAACTGGGGAAGGGGATATTTGCCGTCTATTAATGCAATTGGTCATTGAAAGTTTCCCATTCTCAGCTAGACATTTATAAATTACCTTTATCCCCCCACCTTTTCCGGGATCAATACTGTCGCCAGGGTATGAAATTCAAATTACCGCTAGGCTGTAGGTGTTTTAAGCAGTTATCTAACAAAATCAGTTCACAATTTTCGAAGTTTTGCAGTCACGATGATCATGAAGGCTCAGCTATTTATCACTGGATACATTTCTTCATTAACTCAGAAGTTAATTTAGATCAGTGGAATGCAATGGATTGATCGATTTGATTGGTTATGGGTGATTTCATTTTGGTACCAGTATATATATATATTTCAGTAAAAGAAGAATTAATTTCAATAATGTATGTTTTTCATTTGATACAGTTATATGAAAAAATTAGGCTGAAAATGGACTCAATGCAACAACATAACATGTCTTGGATCGAGGTAGGCCAAAGCAGTATTTAAATGATGATTCATTTGGTAGTGACTTGTCAAAAGATTGAGCACTTTTTTATGTTAGGTTTTTCTCCATGTTATTTATTTCTCCTTCTTTGTTACATACGTCAACAGCCTGGTATTCAAATGAATAGACATGTTCATTCCTTTATTGTAGATTCGTAGAGTTCAGCTGTGACTTCCATTTAGACGTAACGCTTTCTATCGCGAGAATTTATTTTGTGGGTTGAAAGATTTGACGACAATTACAATAATATGCAATTAATGATATGTCAATGAAACCGCAAAATCATAATGTTTGATTATGGTCTTGAGTTTGACTTCATGGGGAAGTTTTGTTTGTATTGAATTTCTGAAGTTCAGCAGGATGACAGTGCACTCGTATGCATGCGGTTTCAGCTATTTTCAAATGTTAGCATTTAATTTCCAATTAAGCTGCTTTTTATGCCTGTGTATATGTACCAGACATCTGTTGTTTGTTAAACATTTACTGTCTATATTTAGTAGATTTGAGCGCGTTAAAATAGGAATGCTTAAATATTATATCTTATATTGCTTGCAAAACATTATTTCGCCAAGTAAGAAGCAGATTATCTTTAAAATTTACAGAAAACATCAGACAACGGTCTTGTATTTTCGGATCCGTATTGTCAAATCAGTCTGTTGACTCTTTAGCAGCGATTATATTCCCTGTGTGTTTTTATACAAGATTATTCCAACCAAGAATGCCCTATGGATCAACAAAACATATCTATTGGTGTCAATTCTTTCTTAAGAAACTGAAGGCTGCCGCATATTGGCATTCTGTTCCCCTTTCTCGATTGCAACCAACTTAATTTTTATTATCCCTGGAAGCACGCTCGCTTAATCATCATCCCTGGATACATAATGTTAATCTTCGGAACTTCTCCCACGCTGTGTTTCAGGTTTCGCATAGAAGCCTTTTTCCCTTGCTATCAAGTGAATTTGCCTTCGAAATCGTTGCAGATCTGATGGTTAAGAACTACTTTTCCTTGCTCTTGTCCCTTGCGTTTGCACTTCGTTGTAATCGGCAACGCTTTATTGTATCTAGATTTTTTTATCTATTTTAATAGAGAGAAAAAATCACAATTATTAAGACATCTACCTTCCGATATAGCCGTAGTTCTGAGAAGAGTTAGAATACTCCCCCTTTCCAATATACAGCTAGCCTACAGACTACAGGCTGACTACAGTCCATGGGTAGTTCGAGAATGTTGTAGATTCGTTTCGGTGCTTGAGATCAGCTTTGCTTCATAGTTAAACTTAAAAGCCAGATTTTTAGAGCCAAAGCGGAAACGCCCAGTTCAGATGGTTAGATTAGTTACTTTGTTGTTGAACTGTCGCGCTTTTTGATAACGGCAACTTAAAGGTAATGTGTCCAGCTAAAGCAAGAAATTCTGCGGGGGTTTTCAGAGACGTGATTTTTCATGTCATCGCCCAAGCCATTACGGTCGTTCTGTTTATCTACCCTGCTGCCAAGTTAGCTTTTTATGTAAGCAGTTTTGCATTGATGTTTTGTGTAAAATGTCTTTTCATGTTACTTGACAAGTAGGGTATACGCAGTCCTTTTATATAGATACATTTCCTTTAATAAGACTAGTTTTGTAATTCGTATGCATCTGGTGACTAACTTTCATGAAATAGAAAAAAAATGACTGAACAAAAGAATTACTATTTGTATAACCAATTTTATTATTCATTCTGGTTCCATATTTTTTACATCATTGTATCTTTCATATTTTGCCCTTTTGCAGCTCACATTTCGTTTTTTTCTAGGTTCAGTTTCTAAAACAAGCTGTTGATGTTTTGTGCCAGTGCAGAAATATGCTGAAATATACCTATGTTTTTGCATTTTATTTGAAAAAGAATAATCATTCAATAATATTTGAGGTTGGTTGATTTGTTTCCTTCTACGATCTTCTGATTTGCCCTTGATAAGCCTACCTTACTAGCTGCACAAACCCAACGATATCAAGACTTTGTGGTTTGGTAAATTTGAGATTCCCGGACTAAGCCTTTCTGCCTCAAAGCTCGTACCCCAAGCTAAAGATGAAAGTAGTTTCGCCTTTGTTTTTTGTGGCAAATATTTGTTTTCTAGCTTAGTAAAAGGTGTTAAAAGTTCGGACAGCTGCTTGCTCAATTTTGTCGTTTGGCTATGCCATTTAGGTAAATCGTCCAAGAAAGCCGTAGTTGTGTTATAATGAAATTATTCATAGACATATTAAAGAATTTGTTGTAAAAATGCCTCTATTCACAATTCACATTCATAATTCAAGCACATAGAAAGTGATTTGACAGACAAGCAGACAATAGCTTTAGAATCTTAAGGATAATGCCAGTAGGTCCACGTGTCGTGTATTTTGTAGACTAATTGCTTTCCTTTGCTTCATGGTTTGACTCTGGTTAGCTTCCAACCCTTGACAGGCAACGAATCGTATTCTCTTTTTTTAAGTCTTGGCGTACTAAATATCTTAATGGAGAATTACTTAGTAGACAAAAGACCATGTCTCTAGGTGATCCTTTGATATCTTAGGATTAACAGGGCAACTTGCTACTTGCCGGAGGCTGCGTTTCCATTAAACGTCCATTTTGTCCAATAGGCAGAAATGAACCAAGTTGTTGAGCAATTGTTCAGCTGAGTCGAATTCGTTAATCCATTGGCTGTAGAAGTAAAGCGCCCAAGCTTTCTTTTTTGGTCTAGTTCAGCACTTGACATTGCACAATGTTTGCAAATGGATACGAGTGTCGATTTGTGAAATGCATCTTGCTCACGTCTGGCGCTTCAGTGATCTGCACACTAGCCATAAGAAATCATCATTGCATGTTTGTTGTAATAATGAAGGATGTTCCATGCTACTGTGACTTGTTATAAGATTCCTATTCCATTCGTGGTTTCCCCTCGTTTTGAATGATTTATCGTCCCTCGTCATTAGCACAACTGCCTGGAACTATTCTTAGATTTTTTTGTCATCTGAAATATATTTGAAACACGAAGAAAACACTTATCTAGCCGACACTTTTTGAGGAATTAAGCCTTCACTTTCTTAGTGCTCGTTCGGACTTGATCGTATGACAGTTTAGTGAACGTTTATTGCCCTTGCACGGTAGTGTAAGTTTTCTATCCTCACCCATTTTCAGTTGATCTCTTCTCCAAGAAAATTATGTTAATCTCGAGTAGGGTAATTTAATATTTTCATTGGTCTTATTTCCCGTCCAATCTTACGTGTACAGCTTCTTTATACGCCATGCAGGTCTATAGGCTGAAGTTTTTGTTAGTTTTTAAAGTTATAATGTCTTTTTCACTTCCTGTTTTTGCAATTTGTTCGTCATTTTGTTTGTCAGGACAACCAAAGAGATCTCGAAATGGCCACTGAGGTGCTATCAGAGTACTTAGAGAGAGATATAAATTCAGAAGAAGCGCAAGAGATTAAGCAGAAAGTGCAAGACAAATATAGGTATCACTTGATTGTTTTTGTCTTCAGTAGGCCTATGCCTAGTACGGAAATTTGTCGAAGTCAAGTCTTGTGTAATAGGAGTCTATTGTAGGCTGTTTGATTTTAGAATCTTTATAATGTACACAAGCTTTTTGTGATGTTCAGGGAAGAAAAGTACTTCTTGAAGGCACAGTAAATGAATACATATATATATATTTATATAGATTATATATAGATTATATATAATCTATATAGATAAGAGCTATTGAATATATATATTTGTATATATATATTCAATATCTCTTAACTCTAAAGTTTTTTAAAATATTAAATAGATTCTCAATAAAAAAACAACTTGTTTGACGTTTCGCTGTAAGCCTTCAGAATAACTAACACAAAATATACATATATAGATATACATACTTCAGAATAACTAGATGTGTTAGTTATTCTGGAGAAGCGTACAGCGAAACGTCAAACAAGTTGTTTTTTATTGTGAATCTATATATATATATATGTATATGTATAGACTAAAATAAACAAACTATTGTGACACAACTCTGAGTTTCATGTGTAAACAATCATCAGGTGTATATAAAAGTATAGAAAAATACAGCTATATAGATACAACATAATAGAAAATGTAAGAGAAAAATACATCCGTTTCTAGGTTTATAATATTCTTAAAGGCATTTGTTTGGACAAATTCAGGCAAATTCTTTACTCTAAATAAAAGCCCCCAACGAGAGAGAAGCTTGTTTTGCTAAATCTTTTTTGCATTCTTCCAAGGGGTTATTCTTCATTTCAGATACTGTGAACAGAGACGCAAAGTTCTGCTAGATCATGTGTATGAAGGATACGAGAGAGACTTTTGGGAATACCACGAACCCTAAAACTTGCATGAAGAGTTCTTTGAATGGCAGTGATCGTCTGATGCTTTGTAAACATCATTGAAGCAGAAGCTTGAAAACAGATTTGTAAACTGAAGCAGGAGGCAAATACATAATTCTAAAATACATTTCAGCATATTTGCTTTATTATCTAAATTATTGAGCATCTTTTCGACATAACTGCCGCACGCATGAAGGGCAATGATTGTTTTAAAAAAGAAAAATAATCTTAAGAAGGGCATCAGCTACATGAGTTCTTTCTCGTTGCTTAGTAAATACCTAGTGTAATGAATTTAGTGGTGTTATGCATCCTGTGAATTTAGATGAGATGATTTGACATTTCAAATTAAACAGTAGTTTTGTATTAAAATCACAATAATGAATGTGATAATCGCGTGTGCTCAAATGGCTCTGTAACTTCTCAGTGGTCCTGTTTGTTAGCGTTGTGTCAATGGCCAATCCCATTTCGTCTTTAGTTTCATTTTTCAAGTGTGACTGCGAAAGGATGAGGGACTGTCGCAATCGTACCGTAAGAAAGGTACTCCAAGCAACTAAATTCATGAAAATAGTGTGAACAGTCCCCGTTTCTAAGACAAAGCTGCACCAAATACAGAGTGATGAATCTCATCATTGTGGAAGACTGCCAATTTTCTTATAGTACTTTAACAAAAGGAATTTTTCAACACGAAAAATTTGGTTTGTTAAAAGAATCAAAACCATAAGCGTTTTGACATTTTGGTAATTCACACAGGTTTTGAGCTCATTTGCAAATGCAATGAGAATTTTCCTCTGGATTTTCATCTTTTATGTTTAGAATAAAATCGCTTGCTTTTCGTTCCAGAGCTCAATTGATCGATCAATTCCATCTTGAAAATTTTTATCGACACTTTAATTTGGTTGTCGTCTCTTTCTTGAGGTCAATTTAAAGCAGGCTTAGCGTCCTTTTCTTCCTTATTTTAGCTTGGGGAGTCCTGTTTTCTCAGTTATACAATATAGCTTGACGTCTGTCATACATATGACAGCCTAGATGGCCGTAAGGAAATATTAACATACTTTTCCATACACGTTCAGGCTTCTATAATCTAGGCTGAGACTTTATCTTTTGATTTATCGAATAATTATTTGGCTGAAAGAACCGTCTTTTTCATCATTCCTTCGGGCTAATCAATTATGTCACGGAGTCAAATTCACTTTTGTCCGCTTGAAACCCAGTCTTTTTAATTATGTTTGCAAAATTTGCTCCATTCCAAAGCTTTCTTTGCCCTCTTCAACTCCCCTTTCAGGGTCTGTAACTGGTTTCAAAATTTCTTCAGAATTCAAGATAAGATTGAAACCGACTTTTACCAATATTTTTATCACTTTGCCACTGAAATAGAGATTTATCAAATTAATAACAATAAGTACAATGCTTTTGTTAGTACACAGCCAAAAGAACTATTCAAAGGCAGTCACACTATGTTTCAAGAACCAAGAATTTTAAAAGTAAAATAATGTAGCTTATTGATTTGTCTTCTAAGCATTGGTACCAGCAATTTGATAATAGATTTTACTTTAAATCATGATCAAATATATTTTAATGTAAAAGGTGCCCAAATTGAGCAAGCGTCCACGTTTTCGTGATTAAAATTACATATCTTTGTATCATAGGCGTAGAATTGCACATATGACAGTGCCTTGCTAGGTCTTGAAAAATAAATTCGATTTTTCTCGCCATTTGTTTCTGCTAAAAGAATTTGACTCTAGAGCAAGAAGTTTCAGTGGGGATTGTACACTCTATGGGATTGTAGTCGAAGAAACGTCTCCTGGCCTCTTTTGATAAACCTAGCCTCAGTTTCATCTCTATTTTCACTCGAGCCTGGCGGGAATATTATGAACCTAAGCTGTTCAGCTGTTATATAAACATCTATCCTAAACATTGCAGATGAACAAAATATTTTAGCACCTACGCCTTGTTCCAGATAGCAAGATCGAGGCTTGAAAAATCTTTTATGTAGAGAGTATGACGCAACGTAACAGAAGTATAAAATGACAAAATTGTAGGAAACAAATGCAACTTTGTTTTCGGGAATCTCCACAGCCACGTGTTTTTGCTGGAAGGTATGTAGGCCACACATTTTTCAAAATCTAGCTCCGTTTTTAAACAAAGCAGACAAGCCCATGTTGCGCGCAGACGTTTCAGCAATTTTTCTTTTCAAGTTTTTGCTAAGCAGCGAAATTTTTTTTATCACCAGACACCATCTTAAGTCCTAAATGGATATAAGAGACCCCCAATAAGCAATTCTCCTTCCGTCAGTATTAGCTTGACTCAAATTGTCATGGCAATCCAATGATGTCGACGAAAAACGCCATTAAAAAATTTAGAGACAAAATTATCGGGGTTTCAAACAGCAAGTATTCTCTTGATCCTGGGTGACTTTGCCACCCTATACCACCCCTTGGCTACGGGCCTGAAAAAAGAAACTTCGAAAAATCCTTTCCATACTTGATAAAAAAGATAACGCATTTGTCATTGCCACACTATTTTGTGTACAAATCATTCGTTCAACATCCAGTTTGTACCGCATACTCATACATATACAAAAGTAAGTAGCATGCTGATACATTGCACAAGGGTGGGAGAGTAACTAACTTTTTGTATATTTTTGGAATATGCTGCAGTATGTAATTGAGGTTATCGAATTTTTTATATTTTGTTTGGTTGTAAGCCAACAGAAAGGGATAAGTTTGTTTATTTTTTATTGTCATTCCTTGATTATGGCATCTTTTTCTATTTTCTTATTTTTTGTAAGTCTGTCCAGTGTCCCGTGGGTTTTTATACACTGAAAATCTTCCTGTATATTGTTTATTTACATTTCATTGATGAATAAAAGATGCAATCAATGTCAGTTCTGAAAATTTCATTAATATATTTATATGTTAATTCCATTTATTCATATAAATTTTCTAGGTGTTGTGATATGAATATTTTGTAACTAAATTTTTAGTATTAGGTTTTTTAAAAAGATATACAGGTGATGTTGTGTAGTATTCTGTTTGTTGTACCATGATACTTACAATGCAGAAAAAAATTGTTTTCACAAACCAACTCATGGTAGTGAGCTATTTTTCTTGTAAATTTTAAAACTTGCAATTCTTTTATCGAAACTTCTAGAATTGGTTGTAGAAATGAATGAATATGGAGCTGCTATGGCACATTTAAATTATGGAGAAGATAGTTTTTATTAATATTTATCTCAGGTACCTGTCTTATTATATTGGTACCTTACAATGTGTGTTACTTACATTTCAGGTAGTATCAATTTGATATGGAACATCATCACTTCAAGATGTCCAAGCTAAGAATTTATCCAGAGACCAGGTTGGTCTTGTTTCCTTTATTTCAAATTCCTTTGAGGAAATTCTGATACAAGAATCATGACACCTTCAATGTCATTTGGTTGACAACTATGATAGGCAACTTGTCACCTGGGGCAAATCTAACTAATTAGCATCATTTTGGTTGGGTGCTGTCTGATGATTGATCTTATAGTTCTAAAAGTATAGACAACACAGCCATATCTATATAACAGTTAAAAATTTTCAGCAGACTGGAAAACATTTATAATTATTTTGTTACTTTCTATCAGGCTACTAGTCACAAACATTAACTCCTTCGTTTCCCTCTATTTGGTACTTAAGCACATTCTCCAACCAATCTTCCGTCATTCCATTGTACACCACTTCCTTTCCTTCTTTCATTCAATGGGATTTACATCACTTTCTTCTATCGTAATATTTAAAAAACATATGTATCCCATTGCACATATTTCTGATTCACTTTTATTTGCATCATCAAGTCAACATTCTCTTTCGCAAAAGCATCTACACCTCCTTGACATATTATGTCGTTCGCGGATATTTCTACCGCCCTTCCATTCTGTAATTAAAAGATTATCCACGACCTTTACTTAACTCTGTTGTTCAGAGAAATTTTACAACAGTAGTATTGATTCCTACTTAAAAGGTATAGAGAGAAAATCTGAAGAATTTATTTGGCCGTTGCTTTGATATCGTTAAGTATTTTATTTAGTGGCTTGGTTGGTGTCGTGTTTATGTATTCAAAAGTTTGCCTTCCCTCCGTCTGCCCAAGTCTCGAAAACTTTGAAGAATTATATTCTTATTTTCCAGTCATAAGTTCAAGTCAAAGTTGTCTATAGTTAGGCTGCCTATCTTTGGTTCTGCTTTTATGTCTCTGTTCAAAACAAGTAACGTCCCTACGTGACGCTGTTGATTAATCTTGCTCCTGAGAAAGTTCATCAAATTAGCAAATAATGAAATGGCGACCAAGGCCTGCGATAAATATTTTGAGCGATGAACCAAAAAGCCCAGACATGCTCGTAATTTGATTTGAAATGGGGAGCCCTGGCTCACCAGACTTAATATCCCTTTCATATTTGCTTTCATTTGACTTCAATATAGAAAAAGTGCGATATCGTCCCGGTGTGGTCGTTATTTCGCACTGGAACTGCCCAATTATGGTCAAAGCAAAACACCAAATCGTCACGTAGGTTCTACGTTTCATTAGTGAAGTAAGCTTATATATTAAGAACTAATGTCCAATTAATACGGCTCAACAAGATACGGTTACCCATAGTTATTCGGCAGATTCCAGCTTGGCCAGCTTTGTATGAACGGATTATCTTAAATCCTTGACAAAGGGACAAACAAATTTGACGTGCTTTTTAATTTTTTACTGTTCCAAGCAATGTTTGTGTACCTGACCACCTATGCTAAACAGCAAATTTAGTAAATAGTATTTTCACTCTCACGGTGTTTATATTGTTGCTTGGACAACCTTCATTCAAATCTCACACGGTAATGGGGCTTTAAACCTTTTTAATATAAATATGATTTTGCGCATAAAGATGAAATTTTGTTTTGGGGTTGATCGTGTAATGAAATAAAAACAAGTGAGAGAGCAAGTAGGAGGACCCTGGTAAAATGTTTTTGTGGGCAGATATGGCCTAGTCGTACATATTAGATCACAGGATGAGTACCTATGACTTCTAGAGTAATGTAGCAAGACTCCAGAAAATTTATTTCATATACAACACTTATTTAATCTCAGTGAATGTCTGTATGTTTAGAAAGTGCTATTTTTTGGCCCATACATAGAGGCAGCTTCTCTCATAAATTCTCCCTTAAACTCTAACTACACAGCAAGAGAGCTTTTTCACTAAGCCATGTCGTCGCCGTAGGATCTTATTTTCTGCCATTGTACCTTCACGCCATAAGTTTTGCCCATACCAGTCCACTTTATTACGTCACCTATTTATTTGCATCTTCTTTGAGCTTCCCTTTATGGCAAGAAAATCAATGTTTCTTCTTACTATGAAAGTTCACATAATAACGCACTTATTTATTTGAAACTTATTAAGATGTCGAAACTACTTCTTCTTAACAGATCGTGATAGTTACAGCAGGGATTTTTTTTTCGAATTTTTTAAAGTTGACATTTTGAATTTTTCTCTTCATGTCTCACTATTTAAGAGAGGCAAAGAAAATATATATGAAAGAATTAGCTTGGCGGATTTTGGAAATTTTTATGGCTGAGTATGCCGGATTCCGTCCTCTTTTAATCCTATAGGTTTGTGTTGCCTGTGAGCCTGCTCTGGTTGAACTTCCCGTCATGGCTGCCAGTTGGTCTACGCGCCAAACAGCTTTATTGGTAGCAGATTTCTTTGTGGTGCCTTAAAGCAACCGTTTGTCTCTTTCGTTCAAATTGTGCTCAGACCTCTGCGGTGATAAAAATGGGAGTATCAACAAGTTACTGCAGTTTGTGAGACCACTATTTTACCATGTAGCTGTTTTTGGTTAACAAATAAATCCATTGATTCTCAACAATGTTTCCTCTGTAGTTGTTGTAACAGAAAGCCATTGAAGGTTGTTAAATGTTATGTTTATGGTTTTTTACGAGTCAAAGATCATTGTCTTTTGGTCAGACAATTTCATGGTGAGCAGAAATTGCCTGTTAGTCGAGATCTCAATCTATTAATCAATTCAGCCGTCCAAGTTTAATTTTGTGTAATTTATTATGGAGGTAAGCACCTTCTGATGAATAAAAAAAAGTTGAAGCTGTTCTTAGAACAGCGTCATTTTAAGGTCTGCTCTGCTTAGTTCTTAATAAATCTGTCCAAAGTTGTTGCTATGATCTGCTTAGGCCAAAAACCATTGATGGTTTCAGCGTAGGCAGTGACAACAAAATCCTGACCATAGCAGTTTTCCTTTGCAATCTTTATTGGCAGAAATTACCACAACATGGGTGGCAATGAGGTGGCCCATGCTGCCCGTGAAATCTCCAGCTCATTTGGTAAATTCTTAACAACCACAACTATATATTAATTATCATCCAAAGTGCTATAGTGGTTTAGATCATTTTCAGCACCTAATAGTGACACTGCGTTCCACAAAACCATGGCCATCAACCGTCTTAGGTAAAAAGCTTTTAGGAACCAAACTGTTGCTGCAACTTTTCAACACAGAAGTTTCAAATCCCTTTTGACACCAAATACCTCACAAGTTCAAGAGGCCTGGGGAATGCTTGTTATCCAGTAACATTTCAAACTGAATCGATGAACTATCATTAAATTTTACTTAGCTTTACATAGATGGCTCTTCTGTGTTATAGATGTATGTACTTTATTTACTGCCTTAATCAGGGGCTGCAGTTTTTAGGATCTCACCTTTTATGTTGGTGTACAAAATTATTGATTGGGTTACGCACTTAAATGTAATCTTAAGTTACAATTAGAGTGCCTTTTTTGCAATTATAACTTTGATTATAACTTTTGCAATTGAAAACGTTTGGGAGCTTCTTTCACCCTTCGAAATCAGTCTTGCGTATCTTTTGGAGGAAGTTAAGCTTGATGGATATCCAAAATCTTTCTTAGGCCATCCCTTGACCATTTCTCCTCAGCGACGAGGTTGATGCTGTTCAAAATGCTGCCTGCAATGACTTTTGTACAGCAGCAATCTTTTTGAAAAGTGTTACTAAAGTGTCGTATATTTTCATTTTGGTGCTAAATACCAGAGAAATCCACCATACCAAATGTTATCCAATCATGTCAGCCCTCTAGTCTTCTTTTCTATCAAACTACAGTCCCCGATATGCCTTGGCTGAGCGTGTTTCATTTTCAATTTTCTGTTTTCAGAGTGTCATAGCTAATGCTTTAATTGAGACGTTGATCTCTGTAACAAAACGAAAGAAGATGTTGGAGGTCGTTTTTACAAATGAATTTTGATTTGTTTTTACAAGCTCGGTGTTATCAGCATCAATCTTCATCGTGTTATACCAACGACATGCTGTATGATATGGCTTTAATGATGATGGTCGAGCATTGTCTCACATGTCACTCCATAGCCAACTACTGACTTGTCATTGGTCCTTTCTTTGTCAGCAGCATGTCTGTATTACTTCAATTTTATTAGCCTTTTTTGCGGAAAGAAGTAAATAAGCTGGCTTATTGTTGAACTGGATCTACCGCATGTCTTAAGGTCCTATTTAGACACCTCTCTCCTCCTAATTTCAAGTATTAATCTTAGATTTATGGCTCTTAGTCTGCCACCAGTGCGTGAATTTTGTTTTTCCTCCTTGATGGTATTTTTCTTCTCATGTATGTCCGCTTGAAAAGGATAATTTTCGTCTTCGGGCACGTAGTTTTCTACTTTAAAGTGTCAAAATCAGGTATATCTCATACCAATAGTATTTACCTGGCATATATTTTTTTCACCTGCCGACTATCGTAACCCGGTGTCTCCCTCAAACTAAGATAAAGTACGGAACAACAGGGAAAAAGCCAAGACCATACATAAGTTCGTATCCCAAGTCTTGTTT